CCCCCCATTGAAACTTCGAGTCGCTCGGGGAGAAAACCCCGCGGTCAACGGAGTCGAATGCCGCGCGCAGATCGAGCAGAATGAGGAGGCTGACGAAGCCTTCATCTGCTGACGGAAAGTAAATCGTCGACCACCCTTGCCAGAGCGGTCTCGGTGCTGTGCTGTGGCTTCTGAGCTCCGGTGACTTGAGCCTTCGGGTGATTTGATTTTGTTGTTGTAGTTTTGTAACGTGGCCGTGGGGCAGTGGGCCTGGCAGGCTTCCCCACCCACACGGTGACTCGATGGCGTTGTCAGAATCTGTAGGAAAGCGATGTTTGTACAAGGAAGGGGGGAGGTGCGTGGTGGGGGACGGTGGCAGTGGAGGGAGGTGCATGGGGTGGGGGCATGGTGGGTGGGGGGGGTTCACTACTGGTTGCCGTAAAGGATATTTTAGTAAAATGTGGATCGGCACGGATATTTCACCCCATTTAAGGTAAACGTTTTTCAGGCCCCATTTCGATTTTGCACGAGCTGGAGTAGTTTCTGCATTTGCGCTCTTCAACTGAGGCTGCGATGAGACCAGGGGGGGAGATGCTGTGGCCGAGATGTTAACTACCTCGCCTGGTATACAGGAGGTCGTTGTGGCCAGGTCGCTGCTGAAAAATCTGGTCAAATAAAAAAATAGTGTTTTTTTTTATTTAGAACGGCATGCAAATTCAACTAACAATTCCTGTAAGAAGTGCATTGTGGTGATTGTTTTAGACTCTACCATCGGTCTCTCCTTCGTTACCGCTCCCAAAAATCCGACGGGGATGATTCCGTCTCAATTTTTTTTTTTTCTTAAAGCTGTACGGCAAAACGGAACATTAATTCTAAGAATATGGTCAAGAATCGTACTTAAGTTTGGGGCGCGGTGTGGGAGACTTCAAAGCAGCACCGCCCTTCTCCTCCTGCTGGTGCATTTTTCGGCTTACAAAAAATATAAAATTTGGGAAAGGGAAAAAAAATAGCTGCGGCTGAGCCGTAGCCACGGCAGTCGGTGTGCCGCCCGTCGTGGTCGCGCTTGGAGCGGCTTTTCGAGGGCGCAGTTTGCAAGATGAGATTATTTATTGTTACTGTTACGTTGCGTTTTTATTTTTTAACGCTGCGTTCAATCGCAAAAGCCACATTTTACCAAAAATACAATCCTTGCCTCCCCTGCCCGCAGAACGACCTCGCCGCACGCCGTTTACTGTGACACTCCTCATGATGCCCCTTGTCCTTTACCCCCCCCCCCCCGCCCACCAAAAGGCCCAACTCGCACCAAGACGTCACCGTCGAGGGTGTAGGAGGTCACGGTACAATTTGTGCCAAGTTTTGAAAATGATCGTCAATTGTAACTGATGGGTTTTATTGAGCGTGGCCGGTCTTCACTCCCACGCGCGCAAGATCGGTCGGTCGTCAGCTGGTCGATGGCGCAATGCTGAGACGGGGGGGTGGGGGGGTGGCGACAAAGATGACGGCAGTCTGTGTCAAACCGTAAAAAAACAAATCACGATAGGGCCGTCCAAAAACAAACGTGCACAAATTCCGCAACAGTTCCTAACACACGTTTTAACGAGCGCTTTAGTATTGTCAGTAGGCTGCGATGACACACCGGGGGCTCTGCCGGGGAGGGCGCGGGCTGACGTTTCGACCAGCACACGGCCAGTTTCCTCTCGGGCGACTCCCTAAGCTCAGCGCAGATTTCACACACCGGAAGTTGCGTTCGTGTCAGATCCACACGGCAGGAGTTATCGTGACCCCACTGACAGGTGAAAAATCAAGGCAAAAGTGGGTTTCCGGCTCGAATGAGCATTGATGCATTTGGGTAGAGGACTCAAACTCAGGTTGCCGAGTTCGTAGGTAACCGCCGGGACCAGCCACTCCTCGAACGTTGCCGTGTGATTTGCGCGAGCGATTTTTGTTAAATAATCGATTCCGAGTCGCGCGCCGTTTAACGCCCGAGACACAAGCGCGGTGACCGTTTTAATACGGGAAATATCTTTACACAAATATACGCGCGCACGCGCAAAAAAAAAAGGAAATGGCCAAACAATATAAATCAAGCCCCTTGGCTGTCCGAGACGCGTCTCCGGGTAAATAACCAAATTCTCCCGCGCGAGTGTGTGACGGCGACGCGTGAATGCGAGCGCTGTCTTGTGCACATCGCTGCCCGTCGGTGACGCGGCACGGAGCCAGGTGAGGCCCAGGCGGTTGGAACCACCCCCCCCAGCAGGCCGCCCTGGTTATCATCGCCGCGGTTGTTGTTGTAACAACCGCTCGCGCGCCGTCCCGTTCCTTCCACGGCGAACGTTGACGATCCCGCGGCGTCGCGAGTCGCTCGGCCGTTTCACGGTTTCCAAATTCCAACGGGGGAAGGCAGGGGGGAAATCCCACCCGCGGGTTTCACAATCCGTTTTGGGGGCTGACGCGTTGCGATCGCCGCCGCCGCCTACTGGCCAGACTCGTGCCCAAATGCAGGCTGGCTGCGCGGTCGCCTTGCTACAGCTGCCACTCGGGAGAGGACTGGGGGAGAGGGGGGATGTGGGGGGCAGTGTGGGGGGCAGGGGGAATTGTGGGGGGCGGGGGTGTGTGAGGCATGGGGGGGGGGGTTGCTCTTTAAATATTTTCAGACGCGACGCAAGCCGCTGGTTGCGTGTCGAGCGGTCTGCTACGCCACCGCTCTCGAGGAGGAGGGTGGTGTTGGTGTTGGTGGTTGGCTGCTGCTGCTGCACGTGGCTGCCTGTCATCTGCCCACTGTGTGGGGGTCTTCAAGTTGCCGGCAGTCGCTGGAGACGAGGAAGGGGTGGCGGGGAGAGCGTTTGTCACCTGGCTGACGAGCGCTGTTACGTGCCGCATTCCTGCTGCCGCTGCTGCTGCTGCTGCCGCCGTTCGCGTGTCCTCCGCCAGGGTTGTCGTCTTCTCTCCGCGAGCCTCCGTCGTGTGTCGGTGGCGGAGACGCCGTCGGCCACCGCCGCCTCCTCTGCCTCCTCCACCTCCTTGTTGAATGTTCAACGGCGTCGGTCGCTCTCGGGCTTCGCCGACGCGTCGAGTGTGTGATCCGGCAGTACGCACAACGCAGTGGAAGCTGGACAGGGGATGGAGCTGCTACTGCTGGCGCTGCTGCTGCTGCTCGACTGGTGATCCAGAGGTCGCCGGTTTGACCCCCATCATCCGGCGCGGCAGTTGAAACGATGGGGCAAGTTTCTTAAATCCAACAGCAGCAACAACAACAACGACGGCGGACGACAACCGGCGTTCACCGCTGAGTGGCGGTGACGTCACCACGGCGCTTGTGCCAGGCTAGGTGCGGTTTGAGGTCATGTGAAGTGTCGTCGGCCCGCTGGCAGGAGGTCACGGGAACAGACCCAGGTGCCGTGATAAACCCCCACCCACCACCGCGCCCCCCCTTCACTCCGCTGCCCTCTATCCACCCATCAGCCACGTGAATCTGTTGGGCACCACAGCCCGTCAGGTGTGGTGGGGTTATGTGTGGGTACTCCACTTTTTCTGTGACCACCCCATCACCCCAGCACCCATGACCGACATGGTATGGGGGGGGGGGGAGGCCTTCATCCAGCAGTGGTTTCGCTGCGTGTTGTAAACAACGATAATTACTTTTAGTGAGCGAAGTGCTTTTAGGCGCGGTAGTTTGGCTACGGGGTGGAAAGGGGGGGGGGGGGTTTGGCTCACGGCTTCCTGTTTGTTACACACAGAGAAGCTTTTGTTGACGTTTTGCTAATGGCGAGTGGCGGGGGCCTGCGGAATGTAAATTAAAGTCATATTTTGAATTCTCAGAGTCCCGAGCAATTAAGCGAAGCTTCCAGCGTACTCTGACAACCTTGTTTATACTCTACCCGCCCCGGGGGGGCGAGATTACCCTCTTAATGTATCCCGGGTTTCTGTGGTAGACCGGAGGAGGTGGCACGTGACTAGTGGCACTGGCCGCTGGCCGCAGCCACCGGTGGTGAGAGAGGAGCGGTATACTGGATGTGGTGTGCTGGGCTCGGGGAAAAAAATGTGCGGGTCGCCAAACCCAACGCACCGTGACCCCCCACCGAAGATTCAATCTTTAATTTTTAATAATTTTTAGCAGCTGTTGTTACGTTGTGACGAGCTTCCCTTCCGGCACTGTTCCCAAACAACACGACGGGCCTCGTGCGCCCCTCCCCGGTGTCGCGTCGTCGGACGAAGGAATCGACGGCGGGTCGTCGTTGTACCCCCCCCCCCTTTCCCCCCGTCGTGTGAGCCCTTGCAGAAAAGCAGCGCATCGGTTGGAAGCAGATTTCGCAGAACTATTTCCTGACATCCCCCCCTTCAAGTGACCTCCCTGGGGGGCTCCGTGCGCTCTCCAACCGAGGCCCCGCTTTCAGAGACGGTCAGCCTTGCCAAGTCCATTGCCGGCGGGTCAATTGCGCAACCGGGCCGTGGAACGGACGGAGAGTGCACGGCGGTGCGCGTTTGTACAAGGCAACGTGAGGGAGCGCGGGGTTGGGGGGGTTGCAGGCCCATTCGTCCGTCCCCCTCCGTCGGTTCGTCGCGGCGATCGGACGGCGCACGGCGGACACTGCTCGTGGTGGCGGACCGGAATCGCTCGTCGGAACCGAATCGTGTGAAAGGGAATGCGCCGTGTCCGCTCCTGCTCGGAGATCACCGTGTGCGTGCGTGTACCCCTGTGTGTGTGTTTGTGCGTGTTAACAGCACTTGCCCCCCTAACAGTCTAATGAAGTCTATATGGGGGGATCTTTGTCTTTGTGCGCGTGGGGAGTGGTAACGCAGCGGTTCGTGCGCTCCGCTACGAAACCGGCGACCCGAGTCCCATTCACGTTCGTTTCTACCAACGCCAGGTGACGATCGTCCGAACCGGTCCTGGGCCTCCCCTAGGTCGGCTGAGCCTTAAAAACCAGCACCTCGTGCGGTCTGTAAATCTCGCCGCTCGGGAGACAAAGGGTGCCGGGCGCGTGGTGCCTTTGTCATGCGTGCGTCTTCCTCCGTGACAGGTGTGCAGTCGGGGAGGGAAGCCGCGGCTGAGCTTGGACACGGCAGGATGCAAGCTGATCACGTCACTGGAGGAGTACCAGGGCCTCCTGGATGGAACCCCGGAGAACAAAGGTCAGCGAGGGGACTCCCACGTGCGTGTGTGTGTGTGTGTGCGCACGCGCGCGTGTGCGCGTGTGTGTGTGTGTGTGCGCACGCGCGCGTGTGTTTGTGTGGTGCATCGGCAAAGATCCCCCGTATAGCCTTAGCAGACTGTAGGGGCAAGCGCTGTTAGCGAGCACCTATGAAGGCCGGCACAGCACACGAGGGGGTGGGTGGCCAGCACCACGCCCGACCGCCGTTGTCTCCCCAGTGGCGATGTTTACACACCGCACCAGGTACTTATTTGAGGCCGAGTCGACCTAGGGAGGCCCGGGACCGGTTGAGATAATTGTCACCGGTGTTGGCCGTGAGCGGGAATCGAACCTGGGTCGCAGGGTTCGTAGCGCAGCGTAGCGCTAACCGCTGCACCACCGCTCCCCAGTCATCTCAGTCAGTCGACCCATGGCACCCCCTGGGTCTGCCCCGTGACCTCCTGCCGGCGGGCGTTCGACGCTTCACGTGGCCTCGACGTCCACCTAGCCTGGCACAAGCATCGTGGTGACGTTCACCGCCACTTAGTGCCGAATGGCCGTTGTTGTTGTGTGTGGAGAGCGGCGGTGCAGCGGTTGGCGTGCTCCGCTACGAACCTGGTGGCCCGAGTTCGATTCCCGCTCGCGGCCAATATCGGTGGGCCTCCCATTAGGTCGACTCAGCCTGAAATGAGTACCTGGTGCGGTGTGTAAACATCGCCACTGGGGAGACGAGCAAAACCGGGCGTGGTGCTAGCCACCCACCCCCTCGTGTGCCGTATCAGCCTTCATTGGTGCTCGCTAACAGAACTTGCCCCAACAGTCTGTTCGGGCTACACTGGGTGACGTTTGTTTTTGGTGTGTGTGCGTGTGTGTGCGCACGTGCGGTTGTCTGCGTGCATGTAGCATGTGTTGCGTAGCGTGTGGCTTGTACATGAAGAGCGGTCGCGTGTGCACTATGCGTGTGCCGTGTAACGAAGTGGCAGCACCACGGCATCAATCATTCTCCCGATGAGACTCGATCACCACCGGCTCTCAAGTTGCCCTCCCGAGAGAGGCGGGGGGGGAGGCCCCCACCTCCTCCGATTCGAGTGTCACCCCGTGGCACTTGACCCCAATAGCTGAAACTGAGATTGTGGCTGTGGAGTGTGCGTCACTGTATGACTGTGTGCGAGTGTGTGTGTGTGTGTGTGCGCGTGCATCCGTGTGTGTGTGTGCGCACGCGTGCGTGCATCCGTGTGTGTGTGTGTTCGCGCGCATCCGTGTGTGTGCGTGCATCCGTGTGTGTGCGTGCATCCGTGTGTGTGTGTGCGCGTGTATCCGTGTGTGTGTGTGCGCGTGTATCCGTGTGTGTGTGTGTGCGCGCGCATCCGTGTGTGTGTGTGTGTGCGTGCGCGTGTATCCGTGTGTGTGCGTGCATACATGTGTGTGTGTGTGCGCGTATGTGTGCAGCGGTTAGGACGCCGTACTACGATCCCGGCGACCCGAGTTTGAATCCCCGCTCGTAAGTGCTGGGCCTCCCCTAGGTCAACTCCGGCGTCCAATGATTACCTGGTGCTGTACGTAAACATCGCCACTGGGGAGACGAAGGCGGCCGGGCGTGGTGCTGGCCACCCACCTGACCTCATGTGCCGTGCCGGCCTTCATAGGTGCTCGCTTAACAGCAACTTGCACCAACAGTCTGTGTGGCTATGTTGGGAGGAGGGGTGGGGGGGGATTGTATGTCTGTGTTATTGTGTGAATGCCTCTACATGTTGAAGTGGTGGCATGTGCAGCTCAGCTCGTAGTGGGAGGCGGGCGGGGGGGGGGGGTGTAGGGTGGTATGGGTGGCAGGGTTGGGGCGCGCAGGCGGTTAGAACGCTGTCAGGGCAGCCGTTGTATAAATTATTTATTGGGTTCGTTGCAGCGCACAAAAGATCGTTGTTACGTAGCACGAGCTGGGGGACACGGGGAGAGGGACACGGGGAGAGATTTTCACCTACGGCTACGATGGGGAAATATTTCACGTGGAGATTTTTCGCAGGTGCACTGCTACACGGTCCTCCGATTGGGTTTTTGGGGTCGTGCGGCGAAACGTCGGACGTCCCGCCGCGTGGGCTGTACGTACGTCTACAAAGACAAATATGCCACTCCCCGTGTAGCCTTAACAGACTGTTGGGGAAAGTGCTGTTAGGGGTTCACGAGGGGATGGGTGGCCAGCACCCCTACCCCCCTTTCCTCCCCCGGCCGCCTTTGTCTCCCCAGTGGCGACCGTGCTACTCCGCCGCCGGGCCCCAAAGCCGCGAGACTAACCTTCGACGTCTCCTGACCTCTGACCTTCGACGTCTCTTGACCTCTGACCTCTCCCGTGCCCGCCCGCCCGCTCGTTTCCAGGCAAGCCGTGGCTCTCCTGCCCCACGGCTCACCCCATCATCCTGCGCCACCCCTACGAGAGGGACCAGCTGTTCGCCGCCAGCAAGCCCGAGGCCCAGCATCAGTGGAGCGCCGTGCTGGGCAGCTGCCTGCGTCACCGCAACAACGGTGAGGCCGCGGGGGGCTCCAGGGTACCGCGATCGCGATCGGGTAGCGGCTCCGCGCTGGTGCCGTCCGCCACGTGCGTAGCTCCCAGGTGACCTGCCTGCGGCAATTCATTGTCCACCTGCATGTCGAGCGGGTGGCTCAACGACGATGACGGCGGTGATGTACGGAGGAATAGAAATGTTTGACAGGGTGATGGTGAAGTGTTTATATCCCGTCGGAGATGGGGAGGTGGGGATGGCAGGGGCGTTGGTTCTTGGTTTTGTTCTCCCCGCTGTACGGTACCGTCTCCGCTGGGAGGTTTCCGAGTCCGGCACGTAGGGGGGGGTGGGGTGGAACGTCGAGCGCCGTGCCGCCCAAACCGCACGCGGCCACGACTCTGCCCAAACCGTGTTGCGCGAAGAATCATTCCGCCCCCCCCACCCCACCATTCGTTCATTGAGGTTGAGCAAAGCGTCCCGGATGTAGCGTCCGCCGGAAAGAGGGGGACGGTTCAGAATCTTGTTGCTCGGATTTGGAAACAAAAAAGGGCATTATTAATCATCGGTGCCCATGCTCTGTGTAAAAAACATAACGTGTGACCTTTCGCAAGTTGAGCTGTGCGAATGCGAACCGAGGGAAATGAAAAAGGGGCATTCACTGCTCACATTTTAACGGATTCCTGCCCCCACATTCCTGCCATCGTCGTTGTGCCCACCCCAGCGACTACCCAGCCAGCCGAGGCAAACGCCCGCTCGCCCATCCGCCCAGCAACGCACCCAGCAGACGTAGCCAGCTCGCGAGCCAGTCCCCCGTACAACCAGCCAGGGTCCCCCGTACAACCACTCGCCCACCCACCCCACCCAGCAATACTTCCACCAACCCAGCCACCTACCCACCAATACTAAAGCTAAACCCACAATCGGTCCCCAATCCATCGACGCAGCCAGCCAGCCAAGCCACCCCATAGTTGCCATACAACCCCCACCCTGTACCCCACACGCTTTGTTCCCAGTACCACACAATGCACTGCGTTGTGTGTGGGGGGGGGGGGGGGGGGTGGAGGTGGTGTCGTGAGTGTCACGCTAATTGGCGTGCGGCGAGTTCGTTTTGCCGAGCGAAGGGAGACCGATTTGTATTTTTGGAAAGTGTGGTTTTCGCCCGTGAATACTGCGGCTTTTACGCAACGCGGGAATAATAAAGACTAAATTATCTCGCAACTAAGCAGCAGCAGCAGCAGCCGCAGCAGCAGTAGCAGCAGCCGTGCAGCGCGCTCCCTCTGCACGCGAAGGCATTTGGCGCTGAACCGACGAAAAAACAATTGCGCCCCCGAGCTCTCTGCGGCCCTCTAACATACATGGGGAGGTGTTATCGGCCAATTTAATGAGCGGCTTGCATGTGTGGGGGGGGGGTAAACCGAATTGTTGAGAAGGGATGGGGGGGAGTAGGGGGAGCGGGAGGAGCGCCGCGTTTTCACCAGCAGAGGGCGGTGCAGCACCGACGACAACTCCACCGTTGTCCGCCCCTGCCCCCCCCTGCCCCCCTCCCCCGCGTCTACGCTCCCACGTCTCCTGCTGTCCGCCTACACCCAGCCGCAATGACCGGCCTGGCGAAGTATGGTCCAATCACCCGCACGGTGGAGTCTGTGTGTGTGTGTTTGTGTGTCTGTGTGTGTGTTGTGTCTGTGTGTGTGTCTCTGTGTGTGTCTCTGTTTGTGTGTGTCTCTGTTTGTGTGTGTGTCTCTGTTTGTGTGTATGTCTCTGTTTGTGTGTCTCTGTGTGTGTCTCTGTGTGTCTCTGTGTGTGTATCTGTGTGTCTCTGTGTGTGTATCTGTGTGTGTGTTTGTGTGTGTGTTTGTGTGTGAGCGGTGGTGTAGCGGTTAGCGCTACGCTGCGCTACGAACCCGGCGACCCAGGTTCGATTCCCGCTCACGGTCACCAACGATTATCTGAACTGGTCCTGCCCCCCCCCTCCCCCCCGGTCGACTCGGCCTTAAATGAGTACCTGGTGCGGTGTGTAGTACACGTCGCCACTCTGGGAGACAAAGGCGGCCTGGCGTGGTGCAGGCCCCCCCCCCCTAGTGTGCCGTTCCGGCCTTCGTAGGTGCTCGCTTTACAGCACTTGCCCTAACGGTCTGTCAAGGCTACACGGGGGATCTTCGTCTTTATTTGGGGGGGAGAAGGGGGGGGGGTGGAGGAGGGGGGAAGGCCCCTTAATCCAGCAGTGGAATTGGCAGAGAAGGCCGTACGTGTGGTGATCGTCGCTCGCGGACCCTCACGTCTTGAGCGGCGTTTGGTGTCGCGCGATAAACAGTGAATTCTGCCGAGGGGCAGAATTCACTGTTTACCAATCGGCAGGTGCGAGCAGTGCGTCGCAACTTCAAATAGCCAAAGCGGCGGCGGCGGTGGTGGTGGTGGTGGCTACTATTACTACTACGATACAAATGATCGTTTTCATCAACACGTTTGGTGCGGCCTTCGTGTGTTTGCTTTTCTGAACAGACACAAAATAAATAAATCGACCCACCCCCTCTGCCCCCACAACCAGGATTTGAACCCTCGAACCTCGTGCTCACGGGATGTGCCGTGGTAGTCACCGGAAATGATGTCGGGGGGGGGGGGGGAGGTGCTGGCAATGCTGTGAGCCTGCAACTGGTTTTTTGGAGTTTTCTCATGAATTTTTTTTTTACTTCACTTTCATGACTGCAGGAATTCATATTCTTGGTTCTTTCGGTAAAGTCACTTAAGTAGAAAACCAAAAAATAAAAAAAATGCAATGAAATAAAAATACAAATAAAATAATAAATTTTAAATAATAAAAGCAAAAAACCCACGACGTTTCCATCGCAACACGAGAGCGGTCTCCATCAGGCGGAGAGAAAAGACTTTGTGCTGCGCTGCCCCCCCCCCCCCCGTTCCTGATGGCCTCTTGCGGGAGGAGCTCCCCCGGGCGTCGTTCGCCGGTCTTTGCCTCGCACGGTCGGCTACGTACGGCGCGAAAGAAGTTCAACGTACATACGTACGTCTGACGTTTGGCGCCACGTGCCATGGCCAGGGGGAGGAGGGGAGCTTTTGCGGGAGACCAATTCTGATCCCGGAGAACCTGAAAACGCACGGTTCAGAGCACCGCGGGTACGCGGTACGTGGGTTCAATCGCGAACCCTGACGATGCCTGTCGTCACGTATGTTGATCGGCTTTCGCGTACCGTACGTAGCCAACGGCGCAACAAGTCTCGCCCTGCCTTGCGATGACGTCATCAGCCGCCGCCTCCGAATAAGATCTCATCGTTCGGTGGGCTTTACACGTGAAATGTTCATTTGTGTGTGTGTGTCTCTCTTGCGCGCTCTCTCTCCGTTCGGTGCAGGCCTCTCCGAGCCAGACTCGGTGGAGACCCAGACCTTCTCGGAGGCCGTGCGTCTCTACCGGCAGGACAAGGGCCACTTCTCCACCTGGGACATGTTTTGCGGTAACGAGACGCAGGTAAATGGACAGTCGTCGTCATCATTATCATCGTCGTCGTTGTTATCATTGTCATCGTCGTCGTCGTTATCGTCGTCGGCATTATCATCGTATAATTATCATCATATATAATTACAATACCCTCCCCCTCCTTGCCTCGAATCACTGCACCAGATTGAATTGAATTAAACGGTGACGTCACCCTGATGCTGCTGATCTATTTAAGACCGGAAGCAACAGGAGAGCTTCACCATTCTTGCCCGATGAAGCTGATTGTAATGATCAGCGTAACGTCGGACTACTCAAATTTTAAAATGCTGTTGATTCTCTCTTCAGCACACCGGTGGGCTAAAGAAGTCAATTAATTTGTCCTTTGAAAACGTGACACATTTTTTACTGTTTGGCCGTGTCGGGTGGTGGAGGGTTACGACACATTTATAAATAACGCGATCTGACCCAAAAACCTATATTATGGATTATCATCGTCATCATTGGTCGTGATCAAACCGCCGCTGGGCGAAAGCCTCCCACAATCCGTAGCCAAGTCGAGTATTATTTTTGTTACAGCCACGTGAGATTCCAGGAGGACGGCAGGGTGAGAGCCGTAGTTGTAAGTGAATGGTGGGTGAGTAAGTGGTCATGCTGAGAGCGGTCGGTTTATTTTGTTCAACCAAAATGAGAGACTCTAGAGACGAAGATGAGTGCTGACGATGCTGCGAGTGGTTGTTGTTTAAGTTTCTACTTTTGTTTTAACCAGGTGAGAACTCGGGGGGGGGGGGGGGGGGGGGGGCGGAGTGCGTTATGATTCTCGCTTTGTAAAGAGAGTGACCCCGGGTCCCGTGCCACGGCGGGAGGTCATGCTGCAATTGTGGTCAACGTTGAGACCGTTATAGAGTGACGTTTCTTATCTCATCGAGTATTTCTATATTTCATTTAAAGACTGAGAACAACATACCACTTGGCCCGACATGGTACGCGCGCGGAACGGACAGTCGTGAAGTGTGTCAAGGCCTCTGATTGGTGCAGGGAGGCCTCGAAGGGGATTGGCTAAGGACGGAGAATTAAAATGATTTGGGGAAGAGAAATTCAAACGTGAAAGGATGGGGGAACGGAAGGTGGGCTGGGAGGGGAACGGAAGATGGGCTGGGAACGGAAGGTGGGCTGGGAGGGGAACGGAAGATGGGCTGGGAGGGGAACGGAAGATGGGCTGGGAGGGGAACGGAAGGTGGGCTGGGAGGGGAACGGCAGTGGGCTGGGAGGGGAACGGAAGATGGGCTGGGAGGGGAACGGAAGGTGGGCTGGGAACGGAACGGAAGGTGGGCTGGGAGGGGGAACGGCTGAGAACCGTTGGGTGAGGATTGGTTGAAGGAGAGAGGGTCTAGAAACCTTCCAGGAAGAGGATCTAAAAGGTTGAACAGCAACAAGGGGAAGGGGACGGTTATGGAGAAGACGAAATTGAAACCAGAAGAACCAAAGTCTCCGGGCCTCGGGATAGCGTTGGTATCCACAATAAAGGCGCTTGGTAAAGCAAGGGGGGGGGGGGTTGTCGGCATCGTTACACTTGTGTATAGAGAGAGCCTTCACTCAAGGCTCTTGCTGTTGTTTAGAAAAAAAACGATGACAGAATGGAATGGGGCACCGCCGCGGTGGCGAGATGTTAACTCCCCTCGCCTGGTATGCAGGAGGTCGTGGGTTTGATCCCTGACCCATGCTGCATATTTGGAGTTTGTATTTCTCTCTCTCTCTCCGCGGTGTGACAATGCGTTGTAATTGTGTTCCACGATGCTGTGCTAGGAGCATTCCTACGACTAAACCACATGCGTGTTCTACTCGTTGTTTTGTATCGCTAAAACCCGCCCGTCCTTTAGCGCTGCAACAGCGGCGGCGTGTAGACATGTGGAAAGTATGCGAGTCCGTCACAATACAGAGATTCTTTCGGACGGGGAAAATGTAATGAAGAGAGACGTTTGAGAGCGGATTTGGTGACATTTCGCGATCGGGCGGGGGGCTGGGGGGGGGGGCTAGGGGGGATGAGGGGGGGGGGGCGAATTACGCCTCCATCGGAAAGTTCTTTCTGTCCTTTCCTCTTTCCACCTCTTCTCAAAAATGATGGCGGCGTTCGTGATGGCGGGACGTTAGTGGCCTGCGTTTATCGGGACGTACAATTCCGCCTTTGACGAAGAAGAATGGGGGGGGGGGGGGGGCAGCGGTTTGTCTTGGGAACTCGTGCAGGATTTTCCAAGAATTCGGACCGACTGCCAAAACAGCCATTGGCCGTGTAGGTCATCCCCCCCCACCACAACCCCCACCACCTTCCACACTCCCATAGACCCACAACACACACAGACGCCAGCAGTGTATTCACATGATGAGGGTTTTCTTTTTTTGGGGTTTGAGCGCGTAAATATAAATGTGTCGTTAAACCCGCCCAGCACCCGACCACGTCAACAAAACGTGGCTATTAGTTTACTATTTCGATTTAAAGCTTTCGTGACTGCAGGGATTCATCTTCTTGGTTCTTTCGGTAAAGTCACGTAGAAGGGAAATAATAAAATAATAAAAATTAAACAATCAAATAATTCTCACAACGTTTCGGCCACAACGCAAGCAGCCGTTCTCAGGTGAAGAACACTGTCTTTCCGACAGACCTGTTCTTCACCTGAGGACGGCTGCTTGCATTGTGGCCGAAACGTCGTGAGAATTATTTGATTGTTTAATTTTTATTATTTTATTATTTCCCTTCTACGTGACTTTACCAAAAGAACCAAAAAGAATAATTAGTTTACTACTTCAGCACACCGCTTGTGCGTTGGAGAGTAAACCCACAACTTTTACAATTTGAGTTCCTTAACGTTTCGCTGGCGACGATGACAACAGCTTTTCAGTTTTCTCCGTTTCATTGATTACAACCGGCTTCATCGGGCGACGAGCCAAAATTGTGAAGAAGTCTTCCTGCGTCGCCAATCGCCGTGAGCCTATCGGGCGTTCGCCGAGAATATCGATGGTGGTGATTTTTTAATTTTCGCGGCCCATTGTGTGTCCATGTTTTGGCCGGATGAAGGCCTTCCTCCCGGCCGTTGCCGTGCGATCGAACGTTGCGCCCGACGTTGAGCCCAACGACATTCCACGCTCACCGGGCCGTGCGCGGCGCGTGCGATTCTTGGCCATCCAAATCATATTCTTAGGTTTTTTCGGTAAAGTCACGTAGGTAAAAAAAAAATGAATAAAAGTAAAATAAAAACAAAATAAAAATCACGACGTTTCGGAGGCAACACAAGCCTCCGTCTTCAGGTGGAACCGTCATAGCACGATAGCTGTATCAAGTGATTTTACTTTTATTAATTTTAATTGTATTTTTTTACCTACGTGACTTTACCAAAAAAACCTAAGAATATGAATCCTTGCAGTCACGAAAGCTTCAAATCTAGACATCCAATTCATCTTCGTCGTGGTCGTCTTCTTCTTTACTGCGGGGGAGTTTGGGGGGGGTGGGGAATGGGCGGTGAGACGATCGCCATGCGGCATCGTCTTGCGGCGTCGTCTCGCGGCGTTGGCGGATGATGATCCGCGACCATTGCCCGTCGACAGATCCTGAGCAACCTGGTGATGGAGGAGCTGGTGACGAGCCTGCAGGCCGACATCACTCCCAGGCTCAAAGGGCGACCGCAGGAGAAGCACAGAGCCTGGGCCATGGTGAGATGGAGGAACGCACACGTGTACACACACACGCACGCGCGCGTACACACACACACGCGCGTACACACGCACACGCGCGTATGCGCACGCACGCGCGCACACACACGCACACGCACGCACACGCACGCACACGCACGCACACGCATACACGCACACGCATACACACGCATACACGCACACGCACAAAGACAAAGATCCCCCATATAGCCTTAACAGACTGTAGGGGCAAGTGCTGTTCGCGAGCACCTATGAAGGCCGGCACGGCACACGAGGGGGTGGGTGGCCAGCACCACGCCCGACCGCCTTTGTCTCCCATGTGGCGATGTTTACACACCACACCAGGTACTCATTTGAGGCTGAGTCGACCTAGAGGAGGCCGGGGACCGGTTCAGATAATCGTCACTGGTGTGAGCGGGAATCGAACCCGGGTCGCCGGGTTCATAGCGCAGCGCGCTAACCGCTACACTACCGCACACGCACGCGTACACACACGCTGCAGGTGACGCGCGGTAAACCTCCAGCATGGGTTATTTCTCCAATATCAGTGCGTGACGATGCTTTCACGTTGCGTGTCGGCGGTGTCGCACCGACGTCCCCCCCCCTCTGCCGCACCCCAATTTTCCTCCTGCACGGTATCCACGCCGCAGCCTGCGCTCCGGGGCCCGAGGTTGAAATCGGCAGGATAGTCGGAAGTCGCCCCGTGGCTCGGGGAAGCGCTTCATCCGGCAGTGGATCGGCCACGGCTAACAACAGCGACGACGACAACGATGATGTTGAGACTCAAAAAAAAAAAATCCCCGTGTGCCACCCTTTGCCACCACCGCAGATCTCGTCGGCGGTCTACCGCCTGGTGCAGGAGCAGACGAGCGAGGGCCACGCGGCCCTCCGCCAGGAGTGCCAGGAGATGCGGCCGGCGCTCGAGTCCCTGATCCGGCCGGACCTCGACCAGATCATCTCCTCCAAGGAGCAGGTCGCCGGCAAGATGCGAGGTGACGATGCGGCCGTCGCCGTGAGAGCGGGGACCCAACTCCCCCGGGGTCTTTGCACCCCCCCCCTCCCCCCACGGCTTCAGAAGGCTACCGCCCCCCCGCGTTTCACAGAGAAGAAGGTTATCGCCTTAATGGGCTGTTTGGGGTGGGGGGGTGCGAGTGCTGTTAGCTCGTTGAAGCACCGCCTACGAAGGCCCGGCACTGTGGCACGCGACGAGGTTGGCCGCCTCTGTCCCCCCCTCCCCCCCACCCCCGCCTAAGTGGCGACGGTTACTACACACCGCACCGGGTACTCGTTTGAGGCCGAGTTGACCTAGGGGGAGGCCCCAGGACCGGTGCAGATAGTCGTCGCTGGCGTTGGCCGTGAGCGGGAATCGAACTCGGGTCGCCGGGTTCGTGGTGCGCACACAAAGACAAAGATCCCCCGTGTAGTCTTAACAAGCTGTTGGGGCAAGTGCTGTTAGCTAGTAGCAGCACCTACAAAGGCCGGCACGGCACACGAAGGGGCGGGTGGCCAGCACCACGCCCGGCCGCCTTTGTCTCCCCAGTGGCGATGCTTACACACTGCACCAGGTACTCATTTGAGGCGGAGTCATCCTAGGGGGAGGCCCAGGACCGGTTCTGATAATCGTCACCGGTGTTGGTCGTGAGCGGGGTGGGGATCGTACAACGTAGAACGACGCAATGCCCCGATCCACAAATACGAAGGGGACATCGCGACGATGATGATGACGATACACTCCTCCGCTTGCTCCTGACGCGGTTATCCGGCTTGCCCACCTGAGTGTGAAGTTGTTAGCCGTTGCTCCGCATCTTCGTCAGCGGTACAGAATAAGAAGAAGCGGGGGAGTTTTGTCGCGCATCGCGCTAACCATCGCGCCACCACTCCCCACGCACGCACGAATGCACGCAGGCTTCCTGCAGCCCAAGGTGGACGCGTGCTGCCGGCAGCAAGTGCAGCCCGTGCTGGGGGGGGCGCTGGAGGCGCTCATGGGGTGCGTGAGCGACGGCTTCAGCGAGGGCCGCGGAGTTCTCTCCCGCGAGGTGCAGCACCTCGTCAAGAACACGCAGAACGACGGCGGAGCCAAGCGCCTCGCAGAGGTGGGCGGGGGGAGGGGCACCGGGGGGGGGGCACCTGGGGGGGGGGCACCTGGGGGGGGCAGCTTTATTGGTCCTGACTAACAGAGCCAATGCAGAAGATCCCAGTGTTTTGATCTCCCACTGTTTTGATCTCCCACGCGGCTCGTGGGTCCACCCCTAAGCAACCGTGGTGGCAGCAGATGCGGATGACACCTGACGCACGGAAGGGGCGGAGCGTGTTTCTCAAACGTCTCCGGCAGCGTGCGGGACCAGCGGTCGTCCAGAACGGGGAACGTAGTACGCAATCGTGTCAACGACACGGCGATGATGAGGATGATGATGATGATGGTGGTGATGGTGGTGATGGTGGTGATGGTGGTGATGGTGGTGGTGATGATGAGGATGATGGTGGTGGTGGTGGTGGTGATGATGGTGATGTTGATGGTGATGTTGATGGTGATGTTGATGGTGATGTTGATGGTGATGTTGATGGTGATGTTAATGGTGGTGATGGTGATGATGTTGATGATGATGATACACTGCTCCACGCCGCTCCACACATGCGGTTGTCTCCCGGCGGTCGTTACTCCGCATCTTCGACGTCCGCAGCCGTCCGGAAGAAGACGACGACGACGACGACTTACCGGCAACAGTCCGTTACGGCGACACGGTGTGGTTGGTGGGTGGTGGTCACCTCTTGTGTCTCTGCGCGTGCAGTACGTGGAGAAGCTGGCCATGGCGCCGTCCGACCCGGTGAAGATGCTGCCGTGCGACGAAAAGGTGGAGAGGCTGAAGGCGCAGCTCGCAGATCTCAAGCAGCGCGTCGACTTCTCGTCGTCCGACGCGCTCATCCACAGGGGCCAGACGCTCGTCCAGGAGGTGGCGCCACGCACACACAAAGACACACGCGCGCAGACAGACGCACACACGCACTGCTACACAAAGACAAAGATCCCCCGTGTAGCCTGAACAGGCGGTTGGGGCAAGCGAGCAGCCGGGGCCCCCTCGTGTGCCACAGTGCCGGCCTTCATCGGTGCTACTCGCCAACAGCACTTGCCCCAACAGCCTGTTAAGACTATATGGGGATCTTTGTCTTGCGTATGACGTGCACCCGCCCACCTGTGTGTGTGTACGTATGTGATGGTGTACATGTGCTTGTGTGTGTGCGTGTACGTCATGGTGTGTGTGCGCACGTGACTGTGTGTGTGTGTGCGCGTGTGACTGTGTGTGCGCGCGTACGTGACTGTGTGTGCGCGCGTGTGACTGTGTGTGCGCGCGTGTGACTGTGTGTGTGCGCGCGTGTGACTGTGTGTGTGCGCGCGTGTGACTGTGTGTGTGCGCGCGTGTGACTGTGTGCGCGCGTGTGACTGTGTGTGTGTGTGTGACTGTGTGACTGTGTGTGTATGTGTGTACATGACTGTGTGTGTGTACACGCGTGTGACTGTGTGTGTATGTGTGTACATGACTGTGTGTGTGTACACGCGTGTGACTGTGTGTGTATGTGTGTACATGACTGTGTGTGTGTACACGCGTGTGACTGTGTGTGTATGTGTGTACATGACTGTGTGTGTGCGCGCGCGTGTGGCTGTGTGTGTGTGTGCGCGCGTGTGACTGTGTGTGTGTGTGTGCACGCGTGTGACTGTGTGTGTGTGTGCGCGTGTGACTGTGTGTGTGTGCGCGTGTGACTGTGTGTGTGTGCGTGTGTGTATGTATGTGTGTGTGTGCGTGTGTGTATGTGTGTACATGACTGTGTGACTGTGCGCGTGTGACTGTGTGTGTGTGCGTGTGTGTATGTATGTGTGTGTGTGCGTGTGTGTATGTGTGTACATGACTGTGTGACTGTGTGTGTACATGACTGTGTGACTGTGTGTGTACATGACTGTGTGACTGTGTGTGTACATGACTGTGTGTGTGTGTGTACATGACTGCGTGTGTGTGTGTACATGACTGTGTGTGTGTGCGTGTGTGTGACTGTGTGACTGTGTGTGTGCGACTGTGTGTGTGTGTGCGCGCGTGTCTCTGAGCAGCTGCTGGACGACGCGGTGTACACCTTTGAGCGTTACCTGCACCAGAGCCTCGCCCCCGAGGCCACACCGACCCCCGTGCCCACCGCCGCCCAGCGCGCCCTCGAGCGCGTCCTCAAGGTGAGCGCACGCCCGGTGTGCAGGCGGCGAGACTGCACCGGGCCCTGTGCGCCAGGCTGCGAAGAGAGAGAGATGTTAGACAGAAGGTTCTAGATTTGAAGCTTTCGTGACGGCAAGGATTCATATTCTTAGGTTTTTTCGGTAAAGTCACGTAGGTAGATTTTTATTTTATTTGTATTTTACTTTGATTCATTTTAATTTTTTACCTACGTGACCTTACCGAAAAAACCTAAGAATAGACAGAAGGTGTCCGTCTCCCCCCGTGTGTAATTCCTTGCACCAGAGTCCGTGCCAAGTTTAGTTTAACACGCAAGCTTTCGCGACCAAAATCATCCATAAGAGGTCTTTTATTGGGTTAGATCGCGTAAATGTATAAATGTGTCGGTAAACCCGCCACCACCCGACACAGCCAACTAGTAAGGGTTGTCACGTAGACAGAACGTGCCAATTCGTCACTAGTACAGCACACCGGTTGTATGTTTGAGAGCCAAACCACAACATTTACAATCTGAGTACGACGTTTCGCCAGTAATTACAACTAGCTTCTTCAGGCGATAGCCACAAATCTGGCCTGTTAAGGCTCTCCAACACACTGATGTGCTGTACTAGTATAGTACACTACACACTACACTATACACTACACACTAGTGCTGTACTAGTATAGTACACTATACACTACACACTAGTGCTGTACTAGTATAGTACACTATACACTACACTATACACTACACTATACACTAGTGCTGTACTAGTATACTACACTATACACTACACTATACACTACACTATACACTAGTGCTGTGCTAGTATAGTACACTATACACTACACTATACACTACACTATACACTAGTGCTGTACTAGTGTAGTACACTATATACTACACTATACACTACACTATACACTACACACTAGTGCTGTACTAGTATACTACACTATACACTACACTATACACTACACACTAGTGCTGTACTAGTACACTACACTATACACTACACTATACTCTACACTATACACTACACTATACACTACAATATACACTAGTGCTGTACTAGTATAGTACCCTATACACTACACTATACACTACACTATTATACACTACACACTAGTGCTGTACTAGTATAGTACTCTATACACTACACTATACACTACACTATACACTACACTACACTATACACTACACTACACACTAGTGCTGTACTAGTATAGTACACTATACACTACACACTAGTGCTGTACTAGTATAGTACACTATACACTATACACTACACTATACACTACACTATACACTACACACTAGTGCTGTACTAGTGACGAATTGGCCACGTTCTGTTTACGTGACAACCCTTTGCTCGGTTGCTGGCGGGTTTAACGGCACGTTTATATATTTACGCGATAGTTTAACCGTGTTTTGTGCTGTGCGATGTGTGATGAGTAACTCGATGCAAATTGTTCCCCTGCCCCCCCCCCTGCCCCCCCCTGCCCCCACCACCACTGCCCCCCCCCCCACCCCAGAAATACGACTACGACAGCAGCACCACCCGCAAGAGGTTCTTCCGTGACGCTCTGCTGCAGATCACCGCTCCCTACCTCTTCGCTTCGCTCGGACCCAGCTGCAAACCGGTGCGTGGTGGTGTTGATGGAGGGGGGGGGGGCTGTGGGAGGGGGGCCGAGGGGGTTGGGTGCCCCCCCCCCACTTGACGTAAAAGGGACGTTACGTTACATACGGCACGCGCAAGTCTCCTTGTCGCTACTACGATTGTTTGTTTATTGTATTAGTGTTGTTAAGTTACGTCGGGTGGCTGATGGCTGGATACTCCGATGGTTCCCTTCCACGTGTTGAGAATGTTTACCTCTTTTTACTCCATCGCAATTTAAACGTCGTCATCATCGCACCCCCCAACCACCACCACTGTGAAAACTCGGCCAGGACCCTTCCGAAAAAGAGTCCCGAGACGTGGTGTGGGGGGGTGGGGTTGGTGGGGGAGGGGGGAGGGGGAAGGGGGGTGGGGGGGAGGCCTTCCTGCGCGAACGTGGGGAGAAAACGGAACGCTTTTCCAGCCGTGAAAATGAGAATCGGTCCGTCCATGTGACTAACATTGCAATCGCCACGGTGGTCATCTCCCGCTCGTTCACCACCACCCCCTCCTCCTCACCCCCCCCCTCCTCCTCACCCCCCCCCCTCCTCCTCACCCCCCCCCCCTCCTCACCCCCCCCCCTCCTCACCCCCCCCCCCTCCTCCTCACCCACCCCACTCCTCCTCACCCCCCCCCCTGCAGGAGCTGCCGCGCTACGAAGAGACCATCTTCGAGGACCACTCGCGCGTGGTGCGCGTGGAGAACGTCTACGAGGAGATCCTCCTGCAGTCGCTCTCCAAGGACATCTTCCAAGGTACCGTCGAGCCTCCTGCCAGCAGCGAGCGCCAAACGCGTCCTACAATCCTACAACAGGGGGGGGGAGGGGGGGCGGGAGTGGGGGGGGGCTCATGATGGCCGTGTCGAAGACACCCGACTGAGCCGGCACCGTCAAGATGCTCGGTTTTTCACGCGCTGTTGATCGGTGTCGCTCTCTCGCTCTCTTTTTCTCGTGGGATTCATGATGGCCGTGTCGGGGATGTTGAGATCCCGGGTTTTGGAAGTCCTTGGGTTTGGGTCGCAATCCCAGGAGTTTCCACGCTGGCCGTGTCGGAGACGCTCAGCCAGCAGTGCGGAGGTCAAGCCGTGGGTCTGGGTGTCTCCCCGTCTTTCTGTCACGGGGTACAATAATGGCCAACGTTCCCCCTGTACCCTCCCTCTCCCTCCCATCTCTCAAACGCAGTGGTGAAGGCGGCGGCCGTGCAGAGCCGACACAACCTGTACCGCGACAGCATCGTGTTCGTGGGCGACGGCGACCTCAACCTCGCCGCGCTGGCCGACGACCCCAACATCGACTGGAGGGCCATCCTGGCCGGCCAGGCCTCTCCTCCGGGCGCCGGCACCGCCGCCACCGACGGCCGTCGCGCCGTCCCCGAGAAGAAGGCGCGCAAGCAGCTGCTGAGCGCCGCCGCCGACGGCGAGAAGCCGGCGGCCGAAGCGGGCGACGCCGCGGACGGGGTCAAGGCCGCGAAGACGCGGGACGTCCTCTTCGTGGAGATGACGCTCGTGGAGAACAAGGCGGCCGCGGCGGCGGCGGCGGCGGCGGCGGTGCCGGCGGCGGACGGAAACGTCAACGCCAACAACCGGACCGCCGGTACCGAGACGGCGGTGGCGGCAGCGGCGGCGACGGTGGCGTGTGGTAGCGCTGTGGCTGAGCCGGCGGAGGTGGTGACCAAGGAGGTTGAGGAGGAGGCGGCGAAGGAGGAGGTGAAGGACGAGGTGAAGGACGAGGTGAAGGACGAGGTGAAGGACGAGGTGAAGGACGAGGTGAAGGACGAGGTGAAGGACGAGGTGAAGGAGGAGGAGGAAGTGAAGGAGGAGGTGAACGAGAAGGAGGAGGTGAACGAGAAGGAGGAGGTGAACGAGAAGGAGGAGGTGAAGGAGAAGGAGGACGTGAAGGAGGAAGCAAAGGAGGAGGAGGAGGAGGCAGAGGCACGGCCCACGCGGCCGGAGGACGAGCGAGGCGTCGCAGAGGCGAAGCCCGACGCGGCAGATTCGGGCAGCGGCGCTCCTGCGTCGCCCGTCAAAGATGCCGGCGAGGCGGCCGATGGCGGCGGTGACGCCGACACAGCTGCCGACGACGGTGGAAACCCCGCGAAGGGGAAGCCTGCCGACGGAAATGATTGGGGGCCGAGCAAAGGTGACGATGATGCCGACGACGACGAAGATCACGCGCGGATGCTCGCGGCCTGCCGTCAAGGAGATCGACGACGCCATCCTGGAGGCTCAGCCCGCCGCCGAGGATTCTGGGATCTCGTCTCCAGTCGCGGAGAAGCAAGAGGGGGGCGCGGCGTTCGCGCCGGAAGCCGAGCCGCAGCTCCCGCTGCTGCAGCTGGCGAGCGAGGGGGAATCCGGCATCGTAGAGGAGGAGCAGCAGGAGCAGCAGCAGCAGCAGCAGGAGCAGCAGCAGCAGCAGCAGGATGAGGAGGATGTGACGGAAGGGAGCAAAGCCGATGGGAGCGTGGAGAAGTCGTCGGTGCCGGCGTGCGGGCCCGACGTGGAGAGGGGGGCGGCCGGGATGTTTGACCGGCACTCGAACGGCTTCGAGGAGAGGGAGCCAGTGTTCGTGTGACCCTCCGCGCGACGGAGACGAACCCCGCCGACGACGCATTTTAATAAAATAAATACGCGCGCGCACACGCGTGTACGTGCCCGCTTATCACACAAAAAACAAAAAACTAAAAAACATTTTACGCACGGAGTGGGAAGGCTGTAACATTCTGCGGCGCGATGGGGAGGATGACGAGGAGGGATGACGTCTGGTGTTCTGCCAAGGCCGCCCTTGTGTAAAGTGCGGGGAAGACGGCCAGTTCTGTCCTGTCTGCGATCACGTACTTAGCATCCATCCCATTCGCACGCGCGACGTGCGGCACTCGCTCCCCTGACGTCGCTCTCAACGCATCGTTCGGGGGCTACGTTTCGCCTCCCCACCCCCGCAAAAGACCTTGTAACACGGTGGTGGCGGGTAAAGTGGCGGCGACAGCCACGCTCCACCCTGAGGCCCCCGCCCGCTGCGGCCTCCGATAAGGCCCGTGCGCCGCTACAGGAAATCCTGCCCAAAGAAAGAGTTTATCGTGGTGGGGAAAGGGGGGGTGGGCGTTGATGAGTCATCGCTGGGGGGGGTTGCGGGGCGAGGTTGGCCGGGGGGGGGGGGACCTCGGCCCCCCTCCCCCTGCCGAGCGCCGTCCGTTCCTTCGCGACGGCGCCCGTTCGCGCTCGGTCGCACCTCCAGAATCCGGCCGACACCAATCTGTCGATGGAAGACTCCGCCAACCCCCCCCCCCCCCGGTGGTCTTGGGAAGGGGGGCGGTGGTTTGGCCGCGTGTCTGGGGGGGGTGGTTTGTCTTGTTTTTATTACTATGGCAGGGTTTGTGTAATCCGCTGAATTTTAGCTTTAGTTTTTTTTTTAAGTTTTAAATTAAACTGCGGTCACGGTCACCGTAACTCTGCATGCGTAGAGGGGTTTCTGCTTGTCCAACCCCCCGCCGTTTCACACCCCCCCCCCCCACCCCCGTCGTGGGGGACAGCTCATCCGGCATTGGCGCACACGAATTGGGGTGGGGGGGGGCAGCGGTGGACGTATGTTGAACTTCTTTTGCACCATACGTAGGCAACCGTGCTAAATCGTGAGGTGGCGGGGTTGGGAGGTAAGGACAACAAACGAAAACGCAAAAAGCAGTTCTCAAGAAATGAGTTTTCAATCCTGCATTTTAAAATGCATCGCGAGGGGGCACTGAAGCGAGAGATCGGCCTTGGCCAATGGCACGAGAGGCCCGAGCTGTCAGGAGGCAAAGTGACCAATCGGAGGTGCAGCCCTCCGATTGGTCACACACTAGCCAATCGGATACCATGAACTTGCCCCGACACTAACAAACTAACCGGATGATAGAAACTTGCTCTAACACGAGCCAACTAGCCAACTGGGTACGAGCAACAGGCCCTTACACTAACAGACTAGCCAATTAGATCATACCCCTAACACTAACAGACTAGCCAATCGGATTGCTAGAGCAACTGTCCCTAAAAACTGAGCAACCGGACCGTGGCCCGACCTTTCTAGCACAAACAAAACTAGCCAATCGGATTGTAGCCCAAAGCTTAACTCTAATCTCACTCGCCAACGAAACCCTTCAACGCTTAACCAGACTGACAAATCTGACACTAACACCACCCATAACCCTTAACCACACTAACCAATCGGACACTAACTCCACACCTGACCTTTGACCTGTCGTTCCTGTCTCGTGGGTTGGTTGGGGTGCCCTGGTGGCAACATGTTGACTACCTCGCCTGGAATACACGAGGTCGTGGGTTCGATCCCGACCCTGACACCTCTTTATTTTGAGTTTGCCTGTTCCCTCTCCCCGTTCAGTCGAATCGACGTGCGTTTAGAATATCTGGCTGCTATGAATTTCCACAGAAGCCCACTTCGTTGGGCTATCATTTGTGGCCAGGTCACTTCTGAAACACCCGTAAAAACAACGTTTTTCACTATAAATCCTTTATATGCGTGGTGGCTAGAGTCCTCTCGTCCTCTGGCTTGAGATGGCTGCCACCTATGGGTCAGATGATTGCATGGCAGAATTAAGCAATTGGTAATTAAATATAATTTTTTTTTCCCTAAAAGGTGTAAAATTTGAGAAAAAAATTTCACGAACATTAATTGTCACGCACAACGAGTCTGTGTGCAAAATGGCAGCTCGATTGGATCACGGGAAGTGGGTTAGAAAACGACCGAAAGATTTGCACGGTCGTAAGCAAGCAAGCGCGCAAGTGAACTTAATATAAAGGATTTAAAAATGAAAATAGTTTATCGTTGGTAGGTTTCCCCGTCGCACTTTTCACCTAGTGTTAGGTGGGGGGGTGGGGGTTGTTTGACCATACTTCGCCACGCTGGTCAATGCGGGTTTGGCGTAGGCGGTTAGCGGCTGTGCCCTCTTGCTGCCCTGCGCAATGCCCTTAGCGAGCACCTGTGCGTCGGTAGATGCCGCTGGGGGTTTATCGCGGCGGTCCGTAACTCCGCCGCCTCCGACCGAGATGACGATCACCTGCCCAGGGTGGAAGAAAAGACGCTCGGAATAGGTTTTACCCCTTGTTGGCAATAAAAAACAGGTGTTGAGATGTTGCTCAAATGGATGATAACCTTTCGCAAGGAGGGTCGTGTACCTGCTCTGATAGTGCGCGAGTGTTTGCACGTTCGGTGCAGGTACGTGTGGTTGATGCAGACGCGATTCCTTGCAAAAGGTTTCTGTTTGGCGTTTGAGCATCTTAAACACCTCCTATTTTATTGCCAGAAACGGTAAAAAAAAAAAACCTATTCTTATTTTTTCACACTTTGATACTGGCCAAAAAAAAAGTCCCATTTTGTGGAAGAGTAGGCCCAAACACACCCTCTCGTGGTGGTTGTGGTCCCCTCTCCAACGGCGGCATTGAGAGCAGGCAGTTTTCAGGGCTGCACCTCTACATTTCCGGAGAGACGTTACAGAGAGTGCCGATGGTATATTGATCAATTGAATAAATGGTATTCACGGTGCTGTAATCGAGCGTTGTCAACAGAGTTGCGTGTTCGCGCGTTTGTTTTAGTTTTATCCGCGATGGGCAGTTGTTTTGTCGTTGCCAAGCCGCCCGACGTCCCGCTTGCTACGTCGCATTCACAAACTACATCTTGCGTCCACACACACGAGGATTTGTTTGGGTTCGATCGCGTAAATATGAAATGTGTCGTCAAACCCGCCACCACCCGACACGGCCAATTAATTGTAGCGGTTTGTCACTCAATTGGCTGTGGTCGTGTGCTGGCGGGTTTGACGACACGTTAATATTCACGCGATCGAACCTCAAAAAAAACCCTCCTTGTGGATGTTGGTCGGGAAAGCCTCGCTACGCGTTTGCAAACTGACGTGTTGCGTGTATCCCACGTCCGGGACGATCCAATTTCTAGATTCCCCCGTGAACTTCTCAGTACGGTCAGTATTGTGATGCGCGTTACTGCTGCCAACGCGGGGCGGTGATACGACCGTCGTGCTCGAATTTAAAAATGCTGTGCGAGTGCTCAACTGGTAACCAAAATTGGCACGTTTTTATTTGCGTAACGAACATCGCTCGTTAGCCGTGTTGGGTGGTGGCGGGTTTAACGACACATTTAATTTTACGCGATCCAACCCCCCCCCCCCCCCCCCTCCACAAGAAACAAAAAACGCATGTGGATAACCGTTCGGGGCAATCCGTTTATGATGCCCCACAGATTCTTTATGATGGGGGGGCCCCTTCTGCTTTCATGCAAGCACGTGGCTGGTGACCAGAGTCCGTGCCGTTGGATTGGCGCGAGCCACTTTCCACCCTCTGCCCCCTCGCCAACTGGATTGTGCCCCCACATGAGATGTCGACCACCTCGCCTGGCCGCGCAGAGGGGGTCGTGGGTTCGATCCCAAACCGGACGCCTGTGCATTTGGAGTTTGCGTGTCCTCTCTCTCTCCCAGTGGTCGTGTGGATTTTTTTCTCCGGGTCCTCCGCTTTCTAATCCCGCCACGTTTGAGAATCGATGTGCCTTTCGAGTAGTTTGTCTGCTGCTATGAATGTCCACGTCATGATCAGCCGGCTCTGTTGGGGGGGGGGGGGGGGTATATCATTCGCGTTGACCGGGTCTGTTCAGAAAAAGAGCTACACACCTCGACGGGCCTTAACCTGGTAAAATTTTTAAAAATAGTTAACAGCTTTATCGTTTAATCCACCACCACCTCCACCACCCCCCCGAACTTAACCCAACTGGGTTGTGTGCCATACGGCGGTGCAGCACGGAATCGCGCGTGGGTACACGACCAAGCCACGGCACGGTCGACAGCGATGATGATGATGACGACGACGACGACACCATCGTCGTCGTTGTCCATGACAATGACGACGATGACATCATCGTCGTCTATGACAATGACGACAACATCATCATCGTCTTTCTTCGCTGTCGCGCGCCGTCGAATGAACGTTGTGGGCAAGCCGTGCACCCACCGGGCCCGGGCAGTGTTGGACAAAGTGTGCACAGTATCATCACGCAGAGACGTTTTTACACACACACACACACACGCGCGCATACAAAATATATTTAGCCGGTGAATTGGGCGTCGGTGGGAGACGGAGGCTGCGAAAATAACATCGGCGTTTTCTCGTCGTCTTCATGATTTCTCCCGATTTTGTAAAAAATATATAAAAGGGGGGGGGGGGGTGTATCTACAAATGGATCGCCCCGCGTTCTCAGCACGCCTCTGTTGGCATCCACGCCGTCGCCCGCCCTCGTCGCTTCTCTCCGTCCGGAGGCAGCCGTTCGTGGCCTGGACACGGGGTGGTGGTGGTGGGTAACGCGAGCCGTCGTGCGGCGCCCAAGAGGTTCTTGAGTCGCCGGCAAAGCGCCGACGAGACAAAACCCTCTCGCGGTGACCCCTCCCGGTTTCGGAGGTTTCGTCGGAGGGTCGCGCGCGCGCCGTGTTTGTCTTCCCAGCAACCGCGGACGATGACGACGACGCCGCCGATGGCATTTTTTGTTTTTTTTGGTGGCCGGAACGAACTGCGATCGTCAGCCGCTCACTCTCTCTCTCTAAAAAAAAAGATGTATGTTATTATTATTTTATTATTGTTCTTGTTGTCGTTATTTCATTTCAATCGCTTTTCATGTCGGAAAAAATATATATCTGTACGTTTAGCCGCGAATGTGTGTGTGGGTATTTTTTGTTTAGCCTGCGGTGGAGATACACTGATGTCCACTTGTCAGTGGCCGTGGCATGGTTGGTAACGGGCCCTGGTGCAAGGAATTATATTGGGGGGGGGGGACCCCCATCCAATTTCCCTGAGCCCCCTTCACACCTTTAGTCCGTGGGATGGGGGCCCGGTCACATGGTGAGTTTAATGGGACTCTATGCAAGTTGCAAGTCCATGGGTTCTGTGCAAGTCTAATGGTCCCCCACCAGGCCTGGCACTCAGTCGCAGCGGGTGGGGTGGTGGGGGGGGGGGGCAGTCGCAGCCGATTGTTGTGAGCGCCACCATCGCGGTGACCTCGGGTGGTGCCAAAGGGACATTTGTTGGTGCAGTGCCCCACCCTGGCTGGCACCAGCCTTGTGGTCCACTTTGCAGGACTAATTGGAGGGTTCGGTGTCGTCACGTAGATGACATGGGGCCCAAGATTTTAAATTCCTCTACCCCCCGCCCCCGCGCCGCCCATCCGATGTTCGGAGGCCCCCGACGCGTCGATACCCCCCCCCCCCCGCCCTTCCGTGGCCCATGGTGCCACCGGTGCAGTTGCACCGCCTGCACACTCGCTGGCTCTGCGCCACCCTGTTGTTCCGAAAAACCCCGGGCGGGCGTGCCAGGCGGAAACAACAAAATCAAAACAAAAAGCCAGGCTGGGTTTCAGACACGCACACCAGCCCCCCCAGGTTGGGGCCTCGGTCGCTGGGAGTTTCACAAACTGGTGTTGGCAAGTGGCTTTATCTCAATAAGTTGTGGCTTCGCATGCCGGGGGCCTGGATGTTGTGAAGCGAGGTTCTGGCGGTAACGCCGCGACATTGTTGTGCGGCGGTGGCGACGGCGACCTGCCGGGTTTTGCGGCACTTGTTATCGGATTTTAATATTTTTGTTGTTGTAATGCGTTGCACTGGTACCTGCTTTGTTACTCTCTTATCGATGTGTGTAAAGTAAAACAAAAACCTAACACGTCCAATGATTACGGACGCCCACAGCGGCGTTAATGGGGTCAGCGTGCTGGATTTGCAATCCAGAGTTCGCCGGTTTGATTCTATATCTCCCGGCGCGGTGGTGGAAAACAATGGAACACGTTTCTTAAATACCCCCCCGACACACACACAACCCGAACAAACAACGGATGGGTACAGCCGCATTTCAGTCGATCGGCAGCATCGCGTGTGGGGGGGGAGAGGCGGGGAGGTACACTGTGCGTGCTCCCCACCGCTTCCGAGATTTCTGGCCCTGCGTGAAAGAGGAGGCCAAGATTGTATGCCCCGCCATCCAGAGCGGGGGCCCGTCCAGGAGCTCCCTCCTCGAGCAGTTGCAGGGCTGCACCTTTGACTCGTCTAAGGACAGTCGCCACCATTCGTGGCTTCGCTGGATGGGATGCCCTGTCCACATTTCCATTTCTCTCTTATCGATGTAAAGTAAAACAAATACCAATTATATTCGCCAGCCTTCCTTGCTTAGAACAATCAAAAGCAGCTTTGTTGCCGTATTCATGTACAGAATAAAAATCAAAAGTATAACAATCAAAAGTATAAATGCTGTTGCTGTCATCGCCGCGGTAACTGGCTGGGATTTTTGTTTTGTGTTTTTGTTTTGTGGTGGTGGTGTGTATCGTGCCGCGGCTGCGCTTACGAGGATTGGTGAAGCTTCCAATAAACCAAATTTGTCTCAAACTTTCAGATCGACCGGTTGGCTTCTTGCAGAGATTTCTCGTGGCTGCAGCACTAAGTACGAAACGTCTCTCATCTTCGTCAAGCCCCCCAAGTGCCGGATTAAGCTAGTGCGGGGCCTGTAGCATATGTTATAAAGTGGCCTTAAATAGAAAAAAAACGTAAATATTGAAACAATATTTTTTATCTTCTTAGTTCTTTCGGTAAAGTCACGTAGAAGGGAGATAATAAAATAATAAAAATAAAACATAACATGCAATTCTCACGACGTTTCGGCCACAACGCAGGCAGCCGTCCTCAAGTGAATAACAGGTCTGTCGGAAAGACAGCGTCTTTGTTTTATTTTTATTATTTTATTATTTCCCTTCTACGTGACTTTACCGAAAGAACCAAGAAGATGAATCCCTGCAGTCACGAAAGCTTTAAATCTAAAAAAAAAATTTTACTTGCATAGTAAAGTAATTGTATTTTTTCATTTGCTATACAGCCAGGTAATACGACAAATCGCTAACCTTACACACCCAGTCGTTCATAAAAGTTGAAGGCGGTGTAGTACTATAGTAATAGAGTGCAGAATCACCAAACCGGAATTGATAGCTTGAAAGCATTTAGTGCGGGGCCTGTAGCATTATGTAGCTTCTTGTGCTACGAGGATATAATCCGGCACTGCCCCCTCCCCCAATGGTTGTAGGGTCAAGTGCAGTCTCCCGACTCCAACTATTGTACCAGGTAAGGTACCTAGCTGAGCTCCGTAGCTCTTTTTCAGAAGCGAGCCGGCCACAAACGACAGGCTGCCACCGAAGTGGCTCATCGATGTGGAAATGTATCGCAGCCAAATATTCTCAACGCGTGCGTCGTCGCGATTCTAAACGTGGCAGGGGGAAAAAACCCGGACAAATCCACGCGACCATGGGGAGAGACACCGTAAACTCCAAATATGGAGCAGGCGTCTGGGTTGGGATCGAACTCACGTCCTCCTGTATACCAGGCGAGGGAGTTAACATCTCCTAGCCACCGTGATGATGATGAGAGAGAGACCCGCAAACTCCAAATATACAACAGGCGTCTGGGTTGGGATCGAACCCACGACCTCCTGCATGCATACCAGGCGAGGGAGTTAACATCTCCTAGCCACCGTGATGATGATGATGATGAAAGAGAGACACGCAAACCACAAATATACAGCAACAGGCGTCTGGGTTGGGATCGAACCCACGACCTCCTATACACCAGGCGAGGTAGTTAACATCTAGCCACCGCCGCACCCATTCTGATTATCGTCCAATCTGTCTTGCTGGCCTCTTTATGTTCCTACAAAGGGCCATTGTAGCCTGTTATATATTTCTCTCTTATAATCCCACACACGCGGTGCTGTTTGTACGTACGCTGAGCTTCGTTCGCACCGTACGTAGCCAACCGTGCGTTTTGTTTTTAAATAACTACAAGGAACCGTCATTCGGCACAGTTGCTACTTGCGCGATTCTCAAAAGCACCGGGCCATCACGATGCGATACGTTTCAAAAGACGGATCGAGTCTGCCACTAGGGGGGGTGGGGGGGACGGTGTTGCCCCGGGTCATCCCAATTGAGAGCAAGTCGCTGTCAAATTTTTCTCTCTTCAAATTTGCCAAATTTTGAAACGTGTGACGAACTGACGTGGGGGGTGCGCACGGAACGTCGTACGCCTCGCTTCGAATGCCCGTCACACGGGGCGGCTTGATGGCCCATGGCGTGAGAAGCGGACGGCGATGTGCGGTGAATGCCCTCGTCCATGCGAGACCTCCTCGTCCATGCGAGCCCTCCTCATCCATGCCAGTCCACCTCATCCATGCCAGTCCACCTCATCCATGCCAGTCCACCTCATCCATGCCAGCCCTCCTCGTCCATGCGAGCCGTCTCTCTTCCTTTTCCCTTTTGACCAAAGCCGAGGGGCTGCGGCGCGAACGACTCAGTGGTGGCCCGCGAGACGTTTTACTCCGAGGCACAGTAAAAGGTCACGGGTTTTTCCTCGCAGCTCGTGGGGCGACTAAAAAAATGATAATAAACATTTATTAGCCTGGTGAGGTCCTCCTAAAACCAAAGCGCCCTTAAAAAATATTTAGCAAAGCCCTTCAGAAGAAACGCCGGGCTGTAATAAAGTTGCAAGCCTCCGTGTTCTTCACGACCATCCCACCCCCCGTCTGTTACTTTCATGGCCACCACATTCCGCGTAACTGATTCTCAAATCAATCGGACAGTAACCCTTCCCCCATGGTTTTGAAGGCCGCACTTTAAAAGCAGAGACCCCCCCCCCCCCCCCCCTTTTTGAAGGGAATGAGCAGGCCAAACCAGGTTTTCGCCGCTGCGTACATTTAAACAAAGTGCTCATTTGACACCCTCCCACCCCCGTTATAATTTCATCTCCGTCGTGAGTGTCCATTCGTAACGCTCGCACAGCGATGGGACGCTCCGTCAGAGAGAATGGCGCACACCCGAAGCGGATATTGCAGAACTACTGCCGAAATGACTCGGTAGGCAGCTCTATCCACAGACTCAGGAAGGGTGGAGCACTTTTCCACACACCCCGCTTCTCATCGTGGCGGCCTGCTGATGTGGATGATGCAGAGCAGAGACGACAATTTCACACACTCGGATGGTAGTCCCGACAACTGCGTGGGGAGCAGCGGAGCGTGGCATCGCTGTGGTGCCTCCTTCGTATTTTGTGGATCGGGAGAGGTTCATCTTCTTGGTTCTTTCGGTAAAGTCACGTAGAAGGGAAATAATAAAATAATGAAAATAAAACATATAATTTAATTTAATATGTTATTATATTATTTTATATAAGTATATTATATAGCAATATTTTATTTCATTATAAAATTTTATTATTTTATTATTTCCCTTCTACGTGACTTTACCGAAAGAACCAAGAAGATGAATCCCTGCAGTCACGAACACTTTAAATCGAAGTTGGAGAGGTTTTTACGTTTTACATTTTGCACATCGGGCGTATCCGCGTCCGCCATGGTGTGTACTCCCTGCTACAAACATATTAATTTAATGGCAGTCCAGCCGGAATTTATCCAAATAAAGTTAAAATAAATGTACCAGGTTGTTGCGTGTGTGTGCACAGCCATTGGTGACTAAGCAGAGGCCATTAACTGGGTTACAATCGAGAACCAAGTTTAAACACGGGGGAGCTGTCACAAGAGATCCAAATCTCTTTATTTGGTTTGAGGCCAGGACGTCGGGAATCTGCGGCACCAGAACTTTATGGGGTGGCTCTTTAAGGACTCAGGCGTGCGGCTCTTGAAATCTGAAAACTAAATGGCTCTTCTTGTTATTTTGGTTGTTCACCCCTCGGCATGGAAGTCCAGTTCATCGTGAAAGTCCAGTTTACCGTGGGAGTCCAGTTTACCATGGAAGTCCAGTTCACCGTGGAAGTCCAGTTTACCATGGAAGTCCAGTTTATCATGGAAGTCCAGTACACCGTGGAAATCCAGTTCACGTGGAAGTCCAGTTTATCATGGAAGTCCAGTTTACCGTGGAAATCCAGTTCACCGTGGGAGTCCAGTTCACCGTGGGAGTCCAGTTTACCGTGGAAGTCCAGTTTACCGTGGAAGTCCAGTTCACCGTGGAAGTCCAGTTCACCGTGGAAGTCCAGTTTACCGTGGAAGTCCAGTTCACCGTGGGAGTCCAGTTTACCGTGGAAGTCCAGTTTACCGTGGAAGTCCAGTTCACCGTGGGAGTCCAGTTCACCGTGGGAGTCCAGTTTACCGTGGAAGTCCAGTTTACCGTGGAAGTCCAGTTCACCGTGGGAGTCCAGTTCACCGTGGAAGTCCAGTTCACCGTGGAAGTCCAGTTTACCGTGGAAGTCCAGTTCACCGTGGGAGTCCAGTTCACCGTGGGAGTCCAGTTTACCGTGGAAGTCCAGTTCACCGTGGGAGTCCAGTTTACCGTGGAAGTCCAGTTCACCGTGGAAGTCCAGTTCACCGTGGGAGTCCAGTTTACCGTGGAAGTCCAGTTTACCGTGGGAGTCCAGTTCACCGTGGGAGTCCAGTTTACCGTGGAAGTCCAGTTCACCGTGGGAGTCCAGTTCACCGTGGGAGTCCAGTTCACCGTGGGAGTCCAGTTTACCGTGGAAGTCCAGTTTACCGTGGAAGTCCAGTTCACCGTGGGAGTCCAGTTCACCGTGGAAGTCCAGTTCACCGTGGAAGTCCAGTTTACCGTGGAAGTCCAGTTCACCGTGGGAGTCCAGTTCACCGTGGGAGTCCAGTTTACCGTGGAAGTCCAGTTCACCGTGGGAGTCCAGTTTACCGTGGAAGTCCAGTTCACCGTGGAAGTCCAGTTCACCGTGGGAGTCCAGTTTACCGTGGAAGTCCAGTTTACCGTGGGAGTCCAGTTCACCGTGGGAGTCCAGTTTACCGTGGAAGTCCAGTTCACCGTGGGAGTCCAGTTCACCGTGGGAGTCTAGTTCACCGTGGAAGTCCAGTTCACCGTGGAAGTCCAGTTTACCGTGGAAGTCCAGTTCACCGTGGGAGTCCAGTTCACCGTGGGAGTCCAGTTTACCGTGGAAGTCCAGTTTACCGTGGAAGTCCAGTTCACCGTGGAAGTCCAGTTCACCGTGGGAGTCCAGTTTACCGTGGAAGTCCAGTTCACCGTGGGAGTCCAGTTCACCGTGGGAGTCCAGTTCACGTGGAAATCCAGTTCACGTGGAAATCCAGTTCACGTGGAAGTCCAGTTCACCGTAGATGTCGAGTTACCATGGGAGTCGTTTACCGTGGGAGTCCACCAGTTCACCGCGGAAGTCCAGTTTACCATGGGAGTCCAGTTCACCGTGGGGCAGGAGTCACCAACCTGTGACTCTGGATCCGAATGCGGCTCATTAAGGACTGCTGCTTCGTGACAGTGATTTATTAAGGACCCACCGTCTCATATTCACCCACGTGGCATTGCGTCTTTTGAAATATTGAGGTTTTTTTTTACCGAATTCGAAAAAAATGGCTCTGCTTGTTCTTTGTTTTGGTTGCCCGACCCACCGGTTTAGGTCACAGTGTTGGATACGAAAACGTGCAATTTAAGTTGACCGTAACAATTCCACGCTAGCAACGGGGCCAGCTACCAGCCCAGGTGATGAATACCACACCCCTTAAACTCAAGCACAATCGGCACCTTTCTCAGCTTTATTTAACGACTGTGTTCAGAAAAGGCTGATGCAGCCACACGGGAGGTATTCGTAAATCAAAACATCCACTGCAAGACAAATGGAAAGAAGAGTTAATCAGCACCTTGCCAAGCCTTGCAGCTGAAAACGCGACAGCAGTTTGGCAATGAAAAGGGAGACGCTTTGCGTGTTAAAATAGTGTAGAACCCCTCTTAACGACCAGCCCTGCTAACGAATAATTAACCACTTAACTACAGGCCTCCACAGAGCCCAACGTTTCGATTTAAAGCTTTCGTGACTGCAGGGATTCATCTTCTTGGTTCTTTCGGTAAAGTCACGTAGAATGGAAAAAATAAAATAATAAAATAAAACAGATTTTCTTAACGCTTCTGAGAATTTTTAAACAACGCCGCAATCAATGTGCCCGTCCCCGGGTCTCTGGAGACCACCTGGAGAATATTCCAGGACGCGCGTGTTGACAACGACGGCGAACACGTTGGGAGACTATTTGACTTGTTTGAAGCTATTAACATGACATTCATCTTCTTGGTTCTTTCGGTAAAGTCACGTAGAATGGAAATAATACAATAATAAAATAAAACATAATAAAATAATTCTCACGACGTTTCGGCCACAATGCAAGCAGCCGTCCTCGGGTGAAACTTCAGACGCTGTCTCCCCGACAGACCTGGTCTTCACCTGAGGACGGCTCCTTGCGTTGTGGCCGAATCGTCGTGAGAATTATTTTATTATGTTTTATTTTTATTATTTTATTATTTCCCTTCTACGTGACTTTACCAAAAGAACCAAGAAGAGCCCAATGTGTTCGCTTACTGGCCCATTCCCCTGTTAACGACGGGGCTGTTGTAAGTACAGTAAATATGAATTAATGCATTGAATAGTATGTGTTTAGAATGTGAGTTTAACACGTAGGCCTTTCGCAACCAATATTATTCATAATAAAGGTATTGGGTTAGATCGCGCGAGTATAAATGTGTCGTGACCCTCCACCACCCGACACAGCCAACTAGTAAGGGATTTGTAATGTAAACAAAACGCCAAATAGTTAAGCGACAACTCCCTTACCAATTGGCTGTGCCGGGTGGTGGAGGGATACGACACATTTATACTTACGCGATCAAACCAAAAAAACCTTTATTATGTTCATAATGTGTCTAGTATCTTCATGTATTAATATCCATTGTTTAAATATGACAAAGTAAGTTTTTTTTGGTGAAAAAGGGGTAACTCTGGATGCTATTTGAAACGAATTTAGCCTTTTAACGTCCAATTTCTCGACTCGCCTAACGACCAAATCGTTTAACGATCGGTTTCGTGGAACCGATCGCCGCCGTGAACAGGAGCGGGTTCTACTCTATACACGCCTTCAAGCTCGACACTTGTACACCGGACAGAGACTTAAAAAAAAGAAGAGAAATCAGTCAAACAATTCAATTAGGTATTTTTCCACGTTGCAACAATCGCCGTGAAAATAAAATCTGCAGGTGCCTCCGCACGGTCCAGTCGAGAGAGAGGCACTGATGGCAGGGGGTGTAAGACTGCACCAGAATGATTAACACTGACAACAATTACAAAACAGGGATATCTCCTGCAGTGCGTGGGACGATCATTTCGAGTGTCGGATAATCTATTTCCGTCGGGTTCGACAATCTCGTCGAGTTGTAAGGAACTTGGGGGCGAGGGTACAAACTGGATGTGTACTGCGCAGAAATAAATGTCGCGATAAGGCAACCCTTAAAGCCGGACAGTTTTGTTGTGCAGGGATGCAGCAAAAATTCAGGAAGTGTACGTCTGTACGGTATGCAAGAACAGATTTTCGTACATTGCACGATGGCCTGGGGGATTGGGGGGGGGGGGGCTTCATCCAGCAGTGTATTGATCACGGTTGATGTTGACGTTCACATTTACCCCGCCTCGTATTTTACAATTTTAGTTTTTTTTTTGGCATCTCCGAGATGGTTGGCATAAACGATTGACTTCAAATAATAATCGTTGTCATCGTCAGGTGCGATCAATTCACTGCTGGATGTAGGCCCACCCCAAAGCCGTCGCCGTTTCTCGCGATCCTGCCACGTATCAATCCCACCCGGCGTCGACCACAATTGCCTCCACAGGAAAAAAAAAAAGTTAAAAGAGTCGTGAGGTCTCGTGCCCTTGTTGGCGATCCAATGGCATGGTCGCGCCTCTCCTCCTAAGGGCCGACTGAAGCCACCTCTCCGATGTACGCGCAAAAGCCAACAGCGTGCGCACGGCGTGGTCCAGATACCGCGAGGACCAGCGAGTTGAGGGCTGTGGTGAGGGCGGAAACTTCGTAGGTCATGCACCGGCTGCAGAATCTTGAAGACGGTAGAAAGCTTTGGCGAGGCGGTGGTGGTGTGGTGGTGGTGGTGGCGGCATCAACTTATCGCCGTGCCATCTTCTCGATCTTGAACGCCCCCCTCCACCGCCCCCCCTCCCTCAACCGACGTTTGCCGCACTCCGTAAACAACAGGAAGCGCCGACGATGCCGGCCGACGATGACGGCAATTTCGAATCGTGCGCGGAGCCTCGCCCCGTGTTCACGCTTCCGAGTGCCGACTACTCGGCAGCTGGGGCTCCTCCAGCAGCGTCGCCATCGTCGGCGCGAACTCTGACGCCGGCTGCGATCGCGGGTCACGCTGATGGGGGGACGACGCCGCTTCAGTCCTCCGCGGTCGCGCCGGGGAAGGACGGCGACGATGACGACGGCGATGACGACGATGACGGCGGCAGCGGCAGCAGCAGCGACGCCGGCAGGAACGGGTAAGCGAGCAGGTACCCGAGACCCGCGCCCAACACGACGGCGAGGAAGACCCACGCGTTGTAGGTCATGGCGGCGAGCATGAGCAGGTAGCCCAGCGTCACCTGCACGACGTGCAGCAGCGTCAGGAGAAGTTGACGCTTTATCGGCCTGCCCCCAGGGTGTAGAGGGGCGTGGGGGTGGGGCGGAGGGGGGGGGAGCATATCTTTGTTATTGTTTTAAATTAGGTACAAGTGTGCAGCCCCGCAACTGCTCGCTCACCGACACTGCCGGTGGAAGGGCCTCCTCCACTGGAAGGAACTCTAAAAGAGTGTCCGGTTTTTTTTTTCCGCGGGCCATTTGGCCTGCTCATCCCCCATTGGTCAGATGGACTTTGGTGGCACGAGTCCGTCTACTCTTGACCCTTTCCCGTTCCGAGACGGCTGCAGTTTACAGGGTGCGGGGTGTCCCGTTCACCTCTGAATCTCGGAACTCGCAAGCGGTTCAGCGTTAATGTTACTTAGAGAGGTGCAGCGCCGTTGTTTTTAAAGACGTTGCTACTCGCCGCAGAGAACCGTAGCGACGCGACCGCCACTCTACGATTAGCCGGCACCAAAAATCTGCCACACGCCCTCCCGCATGGCCTTGTGGGAGCCTCGGTACCGATAAAAGTTATTCGATTTTTGGTACGCACGTTCAACTAATTTCGCACCGTCCACAGCCCACCGTGCACATCAAATTGTTTAATTTGTGGCCCTTCCCCTGCACCTCTGATCCAGCAGGGTTGGCTACGTTCGATGCGAAGTCAGCTCAACGTGCATACATCCATACGATCGTATGTCATCGGAACGTCATCGGAATAAAAACCGATGACGTAGGAGTACGCGGGTGTGCGCGTACGAGGGCGTACGAGGCAGAGGTCGCAACCGGGTACCCGATACCCGTACCCTACCCGATACCCGGCTATCCCGTACCTGGCCAGGTACGGGTAGCCGTTTGCGACCCTGGTGCGGCCGGGCACGGGTACAGGTAGGCCGTGAGTCACTGGTGAGTAACCGTTTGTCACTCATTTCGGGTAGGGTACAGGTAGGGAACGGGTACCCGTACCCGGCCGGGTACGGGTACCCATTTGCGACCCTGGTGCAGCCGGGTACGGGTACGGGTAAGGAATCAAAACCCGTTTGCGACCTCTGGTACGAGGGCGCGTACGAAGACGTACGTCATCAGAACGGGAAAAGGGTTACATCGCGACGAAGCTAAACAGCAGGGGGCGGGGGGCAACACTCGCCTCCTCTGCGCGCCGCCGATCGGCTTGAGAAAGCGCAGGGCCTCCGCGTCGTTGCCGTTGGCCGTGGCGCCCGGGCAGCAGGCCTGCATGGAGTCGCAGGCGCCCTGCGGAACCTGGGCGCTCTGACCGTCGCTCTCGGGCTGCGGTCCCGAGCCGCTGGGGCCGCCGCGGCTGCCGCCGGGAGCGGCTTCTCCCACATCGATGCGCCACCGAGCAACCTTGAGGGCCTCGTAGCCGATGGCAGCCACGATGAGAATGAGCAAGGATCCCACCAGGCCTGGAGGGAGAATCAGATGATCTGTTGATTCTGGTGGAATCCGATGAGCTATAAAGGGCTCTTGGTCACAGATGTCACGTAGGTAAAAAATAAATGAAATAAATGAAAACAACTAAATTAAATTAAGACGTTTTGGGCGCAACACAAGCATCCTTCTTCAGATGGGGACAACGTAGTGAAAGCACACACTCACCATGGCCCCCCCCTTCCCTCCATCCCCCGCGACTATATAATTCCTCTTCACAACCATCTCTTAGACATTGTTCCCACCTGAAGAAGGACGCTTGTGTTGCGCCCGAAACGTCGTGATTTAATTTTGTTGTTTTCATTTATTTTATTAGATTTTTTACCGACATGACTTTATCGAAAAAAAAAACCAAAGAGTACGAATCCTTGCAGTCACGAAAGCTTCAAATCTCGAATTCACAGATGTCCAGTTCGAGGCGGGTAAGAACGTTAGGACAACAATACAAAAACACGATAGCCGTGCCAAGTACAGGAAAGGCTGGCTAATCGCCCAAAAACAAATAAAACCATCCTCTGTCCGACCAGTCAAAGTCCACAGAGGTATAAACGTATCTTTGAGAAGCGACCTGGGCACAAATCACCGCTCAACAAAGTGGCTTATCACGGTGCAAAATTTCTCGGAGCCGAATTATTGAAATGCATCTTTCTCTAAACGGGGAGGGCAAAAATCCTTGGAGGACCCGGAGTGTCAAAAAAGATAAAATGTTTCGATTTAAAGCTTTCGTGACTGCAGGGATTCATCTTCTTGGTTCTTTCGGTAAAGTCACGTCGAAGGGAAATAATAAAATAATAAAAATAAAACATAATAAAATAATTATGTTTTATTTTTATTATTTTATTCTTTCCCTTCTACGTGACTTTACTGAAAGAAAGAACCAAGAAAATAAAGAAAGAACCAAGAAAATAAAATGTGTCCACGCGACCAAGGGGAGAGACACCGTGATGGATTACAGGCCACATACGTAGCAACCCCCCACCCACCCACCCCACCAGCGGGCCAGGTGAGCAACTCAAGGTGGCCAGAAGAAGTGGCGTAAACAAAGGAGTGATCTGGGTCACCAAAATTAGTTTTTAACAAAAGCAAGAACAAAAACACACTTCAAAAATGAAGCTGCGGATAGAAGTAAAAAAAATAAAAAAAATCGTCGGGACAATTACAGCTGGGAGTCGAGATGTCGGCACGTAACCACGGATGTTAGAAATAAGGAAACAAAACGAGCTTGGGCCACGTGTCCCCTTTTCAGTTCTTCCATGGACGATCAGTAACGCATGTCTATTGCAGCTGATTATTGTGCAATAAAACAGGCTAATAATTCACTGGTCAACACACTTTTGCTGGCATAAGGTATTCCAACGGTTTTAAGGTAATTTTGGGGTGCCGATTCCAAATCTGGCATCAGTTTTTGTCCATCACATCAGGTTGTTGAGATATCAAATATTGCATTTTCAATCAAAACTTGCAGAAGAAAAATATTAAATAAATGTGGATATCTACATAAAATGATATTGTAAACACACTATCCTAAAAATACAGCACCATATTTTAACACTAAAGCAGTCACTGACTCGCAACAACTTGCAATCATAAGTAACAGATTTAATGTCGGGTAAAATAAATGAAAATGGGGTATGCCGATAGCATAAAAATGAGATAGAGCAAATCTGAGATCAGATTTGGAATCGGCACCCTGAAATTAGTCTAAAACAGCCGCAAAAGTCCAGTGTAATAATTGAGGGGAATTTATTTTTGTAGAGAACTCACCACCAGGGCCATGCGTTTGCCAGAATTCAAAGAGGAGCGTGACTTTGTCCGAGAACTGGAAGAACATCTGTGGAGAGACGAGGTGCACAGTGGCTTCAAGAACCTTTAACATCAATATCGTGTTACGTACGCCCGCACATTGAACTTCTTTCATACAGTACGTAGAGATCCGCGCTAATCGGAAGGGGTGGGGGGGGACAACCAAACTGAACGCAAAAAGCAGTTCTAAAGAAATGAGTTTTTAATTTTGTATCCCGGTGTAGTGTATAGTGTAGTGTACAGTAGTCTATTTATGTATGTTCAACTTCTTTCGTACCGTACGTAACCAAACGCGCTAATCGGAGGTTGCGGGCGGGTGGGCGGACAAACTCAACTGAACACAAATCAATTAGAAAGGCAGACAACACAAACATGGACACCGACAGACGTCAACAGAGACACATTGACGTGACACACAACACCAAGATCTCCAGCGTAGCCTTCAGCGGGCTGTGGGGGAAAGTGCGGTTATAGCGAGCGCCTTGTGATGGCACCTTGTGATGGCACCTTGTGATGGCACCTTGTGATGGCACCTTGTGATGGCACCTTGTGATGGCACCTTGTGATGGCTAGGACGGCACACGAGGAGCTTCCGAGCGAGCGTGCGACATTGGCCCTCAATGTCTGACGTTTCGCACGGAACGCGGAGTGCTTCTACAGCAGAGGTCGGAAACGGGGTTTGATTCCTAACCCGTACCCGGCCGCACCAGGGTCGCAAACGGGTACTCGTACCCGGCCATACCCGTACCCTACCCGTACCCGGCCGGGTACGGGTATGGTACGGGTATCGGGTACCTGATTGCGACCTCTGGGAAGAAGCCATGTTATAGGCGCGGGTGGGTTGATTCTAGGAACTTGAATTGTGAGAAGAGACAAGACGTTGGGAAATGAGTGACAAACAGTTACTCACCAGTGACTCACGGTCTACCCGTACCCGGCCGCACCAGGGTCGCAAACGGTTAACCGTACCCGGCCGGGTAGTGGTCAGTGTAGTGGTGAGTGTACGAGTGGTGAAGGTCTGTGTGTTCTCCCTTGTGATGGAACTTTGTAGGATGAACGTTGAGATGTATAAGGGGCACGGGGTCACCAACCGTACCCGGCCGGGTACGATTAACCGGGTATCGGGTAGGGTACGGGTATCGGGTACCCGGTTGCGACCTCTGTTCTACAGCAGCCTCATTCGATTCGGAGCCGAGACCCCTCGAGTTTGTTCGCTCCAAAACCCCGGCACGCGCTGGGAGCCGAAACGGCGTCAGACCGCGCAGCGTACACCGCAAAGGAAACCCGGCAAAGCAAATCCCTTCAAACCACAATTAGCACGCCTCGACCACAATTGCCCATTATGAATCTCACGTGTGCACGTACATCCCCTTTTTATAAGGGCCACCACCGCCCACCTCCATTACCGTGTCAACTCACACGGTTTACCCTGTATTCTTGTGCAGGGAAATTGAGTTTTCAGGGTCATCCCTTGTGATGGGATTTTGACGGATGAACGTTGAGATTTAAAAGGGGTACGGGGTCACCAAAAAGGTCTGATTTTGTTTGTAATAAGGTGGGCACTGCTCAGGGGTTGACAGGCATGTAGTGGTGAGTGTACTAGTGGTGACGGTCTATTTGTGTGTTCTCCCTTGTGATGGAGTGACGTTGAGATGTATAAGGGACACTGGGTCACCAATTAGATCTGAATTAGTCTGTAATAATGTGGGCACTGATCAGGGGTTGATAGGGATGTAGTGGTGAGTGTAGTAGTGGTCAGTGTAGTGGTGAGTGTACGAGTGGTGAAGGTCTGTGTGTTCTCCCTTGTGATGGAACTTTGTAGGATGAACGTTGAGATGTATAAGGGGCACGGGGTCACCAAAAAGGTCTGAATTTGTTTGTAATAAGCTAGGGCACTGCTCAGGGGTTGACAGGGATGCCACTCCCACCCCATGTAGTCTAGGTGGTGGGGGTTATTTGACCATACTTCACCATTCGTAGTGCCTTGCAAGTCCTTTGATGGCCCTGCGTGTGTGCCAGAGGTCGCAACCGGGTACCCGATACCCTACCCGGGTACGGGTAAGGGTAGCCGTTTGCGACCCTGATACGGCCGGGTACGGGTAAGGAAACAAAACCCGTTTGCGACCTCTGGTGTGTGCACGGTGCGTGCGTGTGTGTGTCTCCCATCCTACTAAGCAAGAAGCATCGACCACAATTAACAAAGAACCGCAGACATCTTGTCAAGGAGCAATAAACCATCGTCACACGAACTCCGGTCATCGGGCCGTCTGGAACGCTCTCTCCTTCCGATATTAGGAAATCCCACTGCACAGCTGTGCGCTTTTAAATCACCCAGATTAAAAACTCATTTACTTTTAGAGAACTGCTTTTTGTTGTTGTTGTTGCGTTTAGTTTGTTGTTACCACCCCCAAATCCTGCACCTCCGATTGGCACGGTCGGTTACGTAGGGTGCGAAAGAAGTTCAACGTACAGCACATGACAGACGCTGCCACTCAAGTGACGGAGACGTCACACGCAGGAGATGTGGGTGGGTGGCCGAAACGTCGTGAGAATTATTTTAATATGTTTTATTTTTATTATTTTATTATGTTTCCATTCTACGTGACTTTACCGAAAGAACCAAGAAGATTAATCCCTGCAGTCACGAAAGCTTTAAATCGAAATTTAACACACACACACAAGATAAAGTTCCCCCCCCCCCCGTATAGCCTCTAACAGACTGTCGGGGCAAGTGCTGTTAGCGAGTAGCACCAGTGAAGGATGTCTACTACACACCGTACCAGCTACTCATTTGAGGCTGAGTCGACCTAAACACGAAACATCGGCGCAGGCGGTATCGATGCGTTCTTACCTGCATCATCTTGACAGTAGCCTTGTAAATATTAGCTCCAGCAGAAGTGACTGTCAATAAGCTTGAATAGAATCCTATATGTTTTAATCTATGGGGGAAGGGGGGGTAAATCCCATACAATCGATAGGGTCGATGTCGAGCAGTCTATAGTATACAATCCCTGGCCTTACAGTCCGCTTGCACGCGACAATCGATAACTCTGTATAGTAGTTCGTTGTCCACTAAGCAATGTTGATTAAATAATCGTCTAATCCATTCACCGTACAACATTACCAAGTCGTCTACAGCAACAGCGAGGGTGGTGGTAACAACGTCAGCGGCTGTCCGATTAACCCCTTCGAGTCTGCCAACGGCGTAAATATCCGTAAGAGCAACACAAGCCTCCCCTATTAATAAATTAAAAAAATATATATCCGTAAGGTTTTGTTACATCCAACTTGTGATAATGTAATCTTCGTAATAAACCAACACGCGCATGTGCACACCGGCAACGTTAAAGCCCTCTACACATATCTGGGAACAACTGAGACTGCTGTTTTTCTCTTTCCGGGTCACGGTGACGGGTGGTGTTCGTGGTGGTGGGAGTTACTTATAGAAGCTAAATATTTAAATATATTTCTTATTTAAAGCCACGCATTCCTGTCTCGGTCACGAGTTTTCTCTCTCCACTATCATTAGGCTGTTGCGCAAGGCGTTTTTTTCTTTGTATTTAGTTTTACTTTGTAAATTCATTAATGAATGAATGTCCGTTTTTTCTGGTTTAATCATTAACTCTGGGTGGTTAAGCCTGGAAGTGCAGTGTGGCATTTGAACGTTTAAAGACACGTGTTTATTAAGACTAAAGAAGACGAAGATTCATCTTCTTGGTTCTTTCGGTAAAGTCACGTAGAATCTACGTGACTTTTTTCTACGTGACTTTACCGAAAGAACCAAGAAGATGAATCCCTGCAGTCACGAAAGCTTTAAATCGAAAGACGAAGATTAACATTTAATCCACCCATTTTTTTGTTTTGCTTACTAACACGGTAATGAGTACGTAACACTGTAATTTTACAAACTACCAAATTTAAAATTCACCAGCTCCGATTGTATTTTCTTTAACCACTAAGTAATGGTTATAATGTTGCAGCTACGTTTAACGTTTACGTTTGTTTGCTCTTACCACAACGCTGACGGACGCAATGGTTAAAGGCGCAGTCCTGCAATCGCTTTCGCTCACGCCTATGCTAGGACTGAACGATTTGTGGAAATTATTCTTTGGTTCTTTCGGTTAAGTCACGTCTAAAGATAAAATAATAAATTAAATAATAGCATATTACGACGTTTCGATTGCAACACAAGCAATCATCATCAGGCATCAAAGAAGTAGCAACAAAAATCTAACCTGTTGTGGCCGAAACGTCGTGAGAATTATTTTATTATGTTTTATTTTTATTATTTTATTATTTCCCTTCTACGTGACTTTACCGAAAGAACCAAGAAGAGTCATCACGATGTTTGCGAACTTGCACGCGTTTCTCTAATCCACATGCTCCTCTGCCAGTGTCATTGCTTCTTCGTGACGTTGCATAACTGCATTTTTAAAATCTTCATCCAAATGTGTTTCAAACCTGCTATCACACCCGTCCCCTCCCCCCTACGACGGTATTTAACTGGCATTGAAACCGCGTTGTTTACATTTGCATTGGTAATTTTGTCATACGTAAAACGAACAAGAGTCTGTTGCATAAGGGGCCGTCCATAAATGACGTCACGCACCTAGGGGAGGGGGGGAGGTCAGACATTTGTGACGATGTGTGACGAGAGGGGGGGGGGGTTGAGAAATATGACGTCACATCAAAATGCGCAACTTTAAATAAATATAGACAACACGTTCTACTTAATTAAATATACTTTTTAATAAACGTTGCCTCCTACAACATCAGAGTGCAGCGCCACATTAAATACGCACTACAATGACAACAGTTTAAAGCGATTTGAAGCATGTTTTATTTTTTGGGGGGGAGGGGAGCTTTGTGATGTCATTTGAGGGGGGGTCTGACTTTTTGTGACGTCGTGTGACGAAGGGGGGGGGGGGTCAAAAATCATCCAAAATCGCGTGACGTCATTTATGGACGGCCCATAAGTGGGTACGGTGGTCTGTTTCTCAGCTCGTGTCCACGATCCTAGACTGATCGTTGAATGCCAAAACCGTGCAAGAAGTCATTGCAAGGGCTTGTTGGGGAGGTTTTCATCTAGCAGTGGAAAGCCACTGGAGTTATAGTTAGGAAGCGACTGGGGCATTGCACTTTTAAATCTCGACCTGAAAAACTCGTTTCTTTAGGACTGCTTTGTTGTGTTTCGTGTGTTGTCCTCCTCCCCGCACGTCCGATTTGCACGGTTGCCTGCGTACGGTGCGAAAGAGGTTCAACGTGCATACTTATATAGTCCAGTGGTTCTTAACCTGGGGTGCACGCATCGCCTGTGCGAGACGCCGTCTATGGGTGTGCGAGACACGGACAGATTTTGCTGGTAGGAACCTCATGGTTACATCAGCCCACAGGGGATTATTGTATCCGTCGTGCAGGGAGGGGCTGGGTGGGCAGGGTGGGGAGGGGCTGGGTGGGGAGGGTGGGGCTGGGTAAGAAGGGAGGGTGGGGAGAGGCTGGGTGGGGAGGGTGGGGCTGGGTGGGAGTGGGAGGGGTGGGGCTGGGTGGGGAGGGTGAGGCTGGGTGGGGCTGGGTGGGGGGTGGGAGGGAGGGGTGGGGCTAGGTGGGGAAGGTGGGGCTGGGTGGGGATGGTGGGGCTGGGTGGGGGGTGGGAGGGGTGGTGCTGGGTGGGGAGGGTGGGGCTGGGTGGGGGGTGGGAGGGGTGGGGCTGGGTGGGGAGGGGCTGGTCACCCCGTGGTGCCCTTATAAAACTCAACGTTTAACCTACTCACGCCGGCTTGTGCTCGCCCTCACAGTCGGGCATATTTGCGGAATACACCACGCCGCCGTTGACCCTGGCCATTGACCGAGCAACCCAACATTCATACCAGCTCCCTCCGCAAGGAATGTGTTTAACATATTTTTTTTACAATTGAGAACCAAAGTGGCGCAAGGCTGCACTGAAGGTTAAGAACCACTGATATAGAGCATGACTCACAAGAATCATGATTGAAAGCGTTCTTACTTTTGCTGGCTTTCTGGGAAATTAAATGCGCCCACTCCCCCCCCCAAGATGTTCTTACCAACTCTGCTTTCACTCAGAATAAACACACAGCTCCCGATTCCAATGAACTACAGCAATTATGTATCCCACTTACAAAGAGTTGTTAGAAAACAGTGTAGCCTGTTGGTTGGAGTACAACTCATACAACCGGTTCTTAGAGGTCGGCTGTCTCGGCCCTCGGGGCCCCACAATGTTGTTGCTCGCAGCTGATGATGTGGTTGATACAACAACAATAACCAATGCAGCCATGGCACGTGGGGTGACCTTGTGTGTGTGGCATCCAGATATATATAAACACAGACATAAGTTCAACCGAGAGGATGGGTACAAAACTGAGCAATCATTGGAAGGACGTTTTTAACCAGGTAAAGTCTTAACTGACTGTGATGTTTCCATCCTCCCTGCCTATGTCAGCTGTTGTTTCCGACTCTCTGTGTGTGTCTCGCTCTCTCTATGCCTCTCTCACATTAACATAGCCACTTCCGTGCCCTCTAATTTCTCACATTAACATATGCTAATTTCTCACATTAACATCATGCTAATTTATCGCATTAACATCATGCTAATCTCTCACATTAACATCATGCTAATCTCTCACATTAACATCGTGCTAATCTCTCCCATTAACATCATGCTAATCGCTCACATTAACATCATGCTAATTTCTCACATTTACATCATGCTAATCTCTCACATTAACATCATGCTAATTTCTCACATTAACATCATGCTAATCTTCCACATTAACATCATGCTAATCTCTCACATTAACATCACGCTAATCTCCCACATTAACATCATGCTAATCTCTCACATTAACATCACGCTAATCTCTCACATTAACATCATGCTAATTTCTCACATTAACATCATGCTAATCTCCCACATTAACATCATGCTAATCTCCCACATTAACATCATGCTAATATCTCACGTTAACATCATGCTAATCTCCCACATTAACATCATGCTAATCTCCCACATTAACATCATGCTAATTTCTCACATTAACATCATGACCCTTGGGCTACACCCATTTCAAACCTTTTAACACAGTCTGCCTCAGGGGCCGTCCATAAATGACGTCACGCACCTATTGGGGGGGGGGGGGGTCAGACATTTGTGACGATGTGTGACGAAGGGGGGGGGGGGTGAGAAATGTGACGTCACATCTAAATGCGCAACTTTAAATAAATATAGACAACACGTTCTGCTTAATTAAATATACTTTTTTATAAATGTTTTCTCCTACAACATCAGAGTGCAGCGGCACATTAAATACGCACTACAATGACAATAGTTTAAAGCGATTTGAAGCATGTTTTATTTTTTGGGGGGCGGGGGGGGCAGAGCTTTGTGACGTCATAATTGAGGGGTGGGTCTGACTTTTTGTGACGTCGTGTCACGAAGAGGGGGGGGGGTCGTCAAAAATCGTCTAAAATCGCGTGACGTCATTTATGGACGGCCCACCGCTCTCCACGTGAGCATTTCCGTTGCCAGGCAACGGTTGCACGGGGCAACGTTGCCACAACAACAACAACGACGACGCACGCGCATCACCACCATCATCACCACCACCATCATCACCATCACCACCATCACCACCACCATCATCACTATCACCATCATCACTATCACCACCACTATCACCACCTTCATCATCGCCACCACCACCATCATCACCACCACGATCACCACCATCATCACCACCATCATCATCACCACCATCATCATCACTGCACTCGCACAGAAGCACGCTTCAACCCCACAGAGAGACACAGAGAGACACAGAGAAGACGACTTCGTAAGACGTTCGCTTTTAGGGTTCAATTTTGTGTTAGTTCTTTACGTTTATTTTTTGTTCAAAGCGTGAAGAATCGACCGCACGTTTCACGCATCACGTAAGTCGAGCGGCTCGCTTTGACGCTTCGCCAACAATAACGATCTGATTCATTCTTTGTTTTTTTCGGTAAAGTCACGTATAAAGATAAAATAATAAATGTAATAATAGTATGCAATTATTTAATTTATTATTTTATCTTTATACGTGACTTTACCGAAAAAAACAAAGACTAATTCCTGCAGTCACGAAAGCTCTAAAATTAAGAATGAAATAACGATCTGAGTTGTTTTTAAATCCGGCCACGTTTTGAGCGGTGTTCGTGTCCGTTTTTTTAAATTAAATTGACTTTTTAATAAATAAAACATAATAAAATACAATTCTCACGACGTTTCGGCCACAACGCAAGCAGCCGTCCTCAGGTGAAGAACAGGTCTGTCGGATTCCACAAATAGTGACTAATCCCATATCAGCATTATTCATAAATATGCTCAATTCCACTGTTGATATGCAAATTCCTTTGTCAAGGCGCCCTTCTTCCCCTAACCCAGCTTAAATATACGCTGCCAAGCTTGGTGGTGTTCATTCAGACGCTGTCTTTCCGACAGACCTGTTCTTCACCTGAGGACGGCTGCTTGCGTTGTGGCCGAAACGTCGTGAGAATTGTATTTTATCATGTTTTATTTTTATTATTTTATTATTTCCCTTCTACGTGACTTTACCGAAAGAACCAAGAAGATGAATCCCTGCAGTCACGAAAGCTTTAAATCGAAATTTGTAATAAATGTTTTCTCCTACAACATCAGAGTACAGCGCCACATTAAATACGCACTACAATGACAATAGTTTAAAGCGATTTGAAGCATGTTTTATATTTTTTTGGGGGGGGGGCAGAGCTTTGTGACGTCATATTTGAGGGGGGGGGGTCAAAAATCTAACAAAATCGTCCAAAATCTCGTGACGTCATTTAAGGACGGCCCCATTGGGATCTTCGTCTTTGAGCAGCTGCGATGGCGAGTCAGGAGCCGGCGGGCGAGGAGCCTGACGACCGATGCACCCACGAGCTCTACCGAGTGAGCCCTCACCTGCCCAGGAGATTTGACGAGCCTCACCTGCTGCTCGCCTACGGGTGAGGAGTCTCACGTTCCGGGGATGTGCCGCGCGAAGTTTCCCTCGATATTCGCGGCCTTGTCGATAGCAGTGGTGATGGTCGTATTGACGCGTTCCAAAACAAACGGGTGCACAACGCGGAAACCGCACGAGCAGACAGCTGTCTTGCCGAGTAGCAGCACGCAGTACATACATACAGTACACAGTACACACACACACTACACACACACAGTACACATTCCACACACACAGTACACACACACACAGTACACACACAGTACACATTACACACACACAGTACACACACACAGTACACACACAGTACACACAGTACACACACACTACACACACACAGTACACATTACACACACACACTACACACACAGTATGCACAGTACACACCCAGTACACACACACAGTACACATTCCACATACACAGTACACATTACACACACCACAGTACACACACACAGTACACATTCCACACACACAGTACACACACAGTATATATTACACACACAGAGTACACACACAGTACACACACAGTATGCACAGTACACACAGTACACACACATCGTACACACAGTGTTGTATCTTTGTATGTATCTCTGTGTGTGTATCCCCGTGTGTGAGACAACTGCCTGCCGAGTAGCACACACAGGCAGTACACACACAGGCAGTACACACACACAGGCAGTACACACACACAGGCAGTACACACACACAGGCAGTACACACACAGGCAGTACACACACACAGGCAGTACACACACACAGGCAGTACACACACAGGCAGTACACACACAGGCAGTACACACACACAGGCAGTACACACACAGGCAGTACACACACAGGCAGTACACACACACAGGCAGTACACACACACAGGCAGTACACACACAGGCAGTACACACACACAGGCAGTACACACACAGGCAGTACACACACAGGCAGTACACACACAGGCAGTACACACACAGGCAGTACACACACACAGGCAGTACACACACAGGCAGTACACACACACAGGCAGTACACACACAGGCAGTACACACACAGGCAAAACACACAGGCAGTACACACACAGGCAGTACACACACAATGCACACGCAACGCTGTCCCATGTCTGACCGCATTGCCGAGTTCAGACCGCACAGCAGAGCACACATTTAGGATAGAAACAGGTTAGCCGCATGCACAGCGAGGGAAATCTGTAAATAGAAAAACAAACCTGTCGTTTTTTTTGTCTTCAAGTTGATCATTTTGCAACGTTGCCTCTCATCGCCTCTCATCGATCACGCAATCATCTCATCGCTCACGCAATCATCTCATCTCTCCATCCTCTGCTTCTCTCCCCTGTCTCCAGGCGTCCGCCGGCAAAGATGTAATAGCCACTTGTTTGGCCTTTGGACCGATTTTGTGTGAACGAGTCGTAACTTTTGTGGCCGTTCCACCACTGCTCCCTCCTGTGGAAGATTTCGTGGATTTGTTGGGAAGTCGGTGATCCGTGGTCTGGGATGTGCGCGTTGTTGTGATAACTCTTGCTGTTGTTTGTGCTTTGTGCTGTGGTGCCATTTCTGCACATTTCTTTATTCGCTTGAGACTTTTTGGCTTGGTAAGTAGTCGTAGGGGGTTTGTATTTACTCGGTGTGTACGTGTGTGTGTGTGGTGGGCTCGCTAACAGCACTTGCCCCAACAGTCCGCTCAGGCTATGCGGGGGACCTTTGCTTTGTGTTGGGCTTCCTTCTCAGACATATCAAGTTCAAGTTCATTTATTAGGTATAGCCCTGTGAGCCATTCGGCTCTTGAATCGGGTGCAACCGCAACAAACAAAAAACATGAACATGAACAAAAAACATCTTAAAGTGAATATGTGACTAAGTGCAAACAGAAAATCCAAGAAAAGACAGCTAAATATTGCAGAAAAAAATCACCGTACACCAACGCTGTGTGCAAAAATCCCAGTAGGATGCAAGTCAAACAACAACAACAACAACCACAAGACAACTTAGATTAAGGCCATCAGTCTAACTCTGTACTACAACAAACAAACATGGCCAAACCAAAACACTTTTCGAAATCACCAAAATAAATTGACGTAACAGCGTTGTGGGATTGCCGTTGGTGCCAATGACGCTGCTAACATGAATCGCTATTGTTGCTGTTGTCGTCGTCGTCCTACGCAGCTCCAAGCCCACGCACCCCGTGTACCGCACGTCGAACCAGGCGTACGGACGCAGAGCTCCAACCGTGCACGAGATGCCGGTGAGTGGCGCGGCGCGACGGGACGACGGGTCATCGCTTTGCGCCGGCCGGTGGATTGCCTCTCCCCTGAGAGAGTTGCCGCGCTAAAAGCGAAAAGAAATTTTCCTCCCCGTAAATAATGTGGCGACAATGAAGTGTGGCGGGACACGACGCGCTACGGCGGCGGCGGCTACCAACGAGCACGATGCGCACCGCGCAGCGGAACCAGGCGTTCAGCTGCGCAGGGGAAGAAAGTCGTTCGGCGCCGACCGCTCAGATACCGCGTTATAATGGTGCACGCTCCGCGTTATAACGGTGCGTTTCGCGTTGTGCGAAAAGTGTTTCCCGAATGGAAGAACCGCGTCATAGCGAAAATGCGTTGTAGTGTGAACAGCGCCACGTGTTCAGCGAGAAGCCTACAAAGACACCCCCCCCCCTCCCACATTGCCCGTCCAGCCACTACAGGCCGTAGGGTCAAATGGTGTTTGCGAGCAGCACCTGTGAAGGCCGGCACGGCAAAGTGCGCGAGGAGGTGCTGTGGTCGCTTAGTGTGTGAGAGACACGCAAACTCCAAATATAGAGCAGCAGGCGTCAGGGTCGGGATCGAACCCACGACCTCCTGCATACCAGGCGAGGTAGTTAACATCTCCTAGCCACCGTGATGATGATGTGAGAGAGAGACACGCAAACTCCAAATATACAGCAGCAGGCGTCAGGGTCGGGATCGAACCCACGACCTCCTGTACACCAGGCGAGGTAGTTAACATCTCCTAGCCACCGTGATGATGATAATGAGAGAGAGAGACACGCAAACTCCAAATACACAGCAGCAGGCGTCAGGGTTGGGGATCGAATCAACAACCTCCTGCATACCAGGCGAGGTAGTTAACATATCCTAGCCACCGTGATAATGATGAGAGAGAGACACGCAAACTCCAAATATACAGCAGGCGTCAGGGTCGGGATCGAACCCACGACCTCCTGCACACCAGGCGAGGAAGTTAACACTTACCCCCCCCCCTCTCCCTACTCCCCCCACTCTAGACAGTGTTCCGAGGCCGCTCGCAGGATTTCTCGACTCACCTGGGGCAGTGCGGGATGTACCGCAACCGCGGACTCAACACGGCCGTCGACCGCAGCGTGGTGGAGGCCGGGGGCGGTGGCGCTCTCGCCGTGTCGGCGCGCCACCAACGCATCGCCTTCCACGAGGCCGTACAGGCGCTCGCTGCCGGCACCGTCGCCGGCGGCGCTGCCGGCACCGGCAACGGCCACTAGGACAAAAGCCGCTGAGCGGACGGGCGCGGGTTGTATCAGGGATACTGTTCGGTTTTTTCGGTAAAGTCACGTAGGTAAAAAATGAAATTGAAAGTTAATAAAAGTAATAATGGAAATAAAATAAAAAAATCACGACGTTTCGGAGGCAATACAAGTCTCCGTCATCAGGTGGTACCGTCACAGCTAAAAGTACTGCATCAAGTGATTTTGCACCAAACTTTGCAGCCATAGCTGGCTGCATGAGTCACTCCACAACAGCAGGAGCATCAGTCGGAGTGCCAACATTTTTGGTGATGGGGAGGGATGGGTGGACCACGTTCCTGGCACCCCCAAAGTCCCATCGTTCGTTGTCGCCAAATGTTGCCGCTAGATGGCAGCATTCGCCTTTGTGATGTTACTTTTCGCAGATTGACGATGCCTTTGTCACACACACACACAAATAAAAGGTCAAAAGTGACTTCCCGCGCCACTCAAATGAGGCATTGGTTGATGTTCATCTTCCGTTCACAGCCGCGCAGAGTCAGTGGTGGAAATTCCACATTCCTATGACGCGCGGGGCCAGTTTATCTACGGGACAATCACCGCGGCGTTCCTCTGCAGAGTGCGACCGTTCTCAATTTAACAACAACCCCGAGGGTCAAATCGGCTGAGTCGACCCTCGAACCTGGAATTGAACTCGCACCCTTCCGATCGCGAGCCGCTGCACGGTTTGACTGCAGTGCATGCTTTACTCAGCGATGCTATTCCACTCATTGGTAAACAACAACAAAAACTCTGAACATTGCCCTGGCCTCACCTTCCCTAACCCTGGCCTAACCTTACCTAACCCCTACCAAAACCTGAATCTAACCCATCCCTAACCCTCACCTAACCTTTCTCCCAACCCTACTCAAACGCTGACCTAACCCCAACCCTATCCCTAACCCTACCCTAGCTCTTACCGAGCCCTAACCCTATCCTCACCCAAACATAACCCGAACAAGAAAGCGACGATGGGAGGGAATCACAACTTCGTTGAATAAACAAAAAATACAAAATACATTAATTTTTTAAAAATCCTTTAAATTAAGTTCGCTTGCTTGCTTGCTTGCGTGCTTGCGTGCTTGCTTGCTTGCTTACGACCGTGCAAATCTTTCGCTCGTTTTTTAACCCACTTCCCGTGATCCAATCGAGCTGACATTTTCCACACAGACTCGTTGTGTGTGACAATTAATTTTCGTGAAATTTTTTTCCCAAAATTTTACACTGTTTAGGGAAAACAAATTAAATATTTAATTACCAATTGCTTAATACTGGCAGACAATCATCTGACCCATAGATTGCAGCCATCTCAAGCCAGAGGACGAGAGGACTCTAGCCGCCACGCATATAAAGGATTTAGAGTGAAAAACTTTGTTTTTACGGGTTTACTTGTTAAATCCTTTATTAAATCCTTTATATTAAGTTCGCTTGCTTGCGTGCTTGCTTGCTTGCTTACGACCGTGCAAACATTTCGGTCGTTTTTTAACCCACTTCCCGTGATCCAATCGAGCTGACATTTTGCACACAGACTCGCTGTGCGTGACAATTAATGTTCGTGTAAAAATTGATAAAAATGAAACTCTTACTCAAGAAAAACAGAAATGAATAATAAAATAAAACCGATGCCACGCATATAAAGGATTTATAGTGAAAAACTTTGTTTTTACGGGTTAAATTTTTCCGGTCTGTAACAGCTTTCTCTACGCTCTACGCGGGTTCGCTCTGTGGCTTTGTGCGATGTCGCGCTCTCTGTGCGGCTCGACTGCTCCAAAAATTCGCTCTGCTTGTGCAGTCTGCACGTGGGACAAAATCTGTGTGTGTATGATGTGTGTGTGTGTACGGTGTGTGTATGGTGTGTGTATGTGGTGTGTGTATGGTGTGTGTATGATGTGTATGTGTGTGTACGGTGTGTGTATGATGTGTGTGTTTGTACAGTGTGTGTGGTGTGTGTGTGTACGGTGTGTGTATGTGTGGTGTGTATACGGTGTGTGTACCGTGTGTGTGTACTGGTGTACGGTGTGTGTGTACTGTGTGTACGGTGTGTACGATGTGTACTGTGTGTACGGTGTGTATGATGTGTGTGTACTGTGTGTGTGTACGGTGTGTGTGTACGGTGTGTGTGTACTGTGTGTGTGTACTGTGTGTACGGTGTGTGTGTACTGTGTGTACGGTGTGTATGATGTGTGTGTACTGTGTGTGTGTACGGTGTGTGTACGGTGTGTGTGTACTGTGTGTGTGTGTACTGTGTGTGTGTACGGTGTGTGTATATTGTGTGTGTGTGCACCGTGTGTATGGTGTGTATGATGTGTGTGTACTGTGTGTGTGTACTGTGCGTACGGTGTGTGTATGTACTATGTGTACGGCAAGGCCGTAGCCATGGAATGAACATTGGGGGGGACCAAATCTTCTAGGGGGTCTGGAGCCCCCCCCCCCCCCCAGAAAAAAAATCTAAATTTGAAAACTAATTTCCTGCCATTTCCTGCCTAAAATCTAAAAAAAATTCACGAACACATGGGATAGACTTTTTATTTATTTTTAACAATAATGTCTAATAGTGTATTGTATTACATTGCTCTGCTTTTTTCTTTTTTACCTTGTCTTGTTTCATTGTATGTAATCGCAGAGATTAGGGATTCCTAAAGTACAACCATAATCATATCAACATAAATCAATGCATTGTTATATGAAGACAAGTCCAGATATTGTGGCCAAGGTTTAGCATTTTTTTTCATTTACATAGCATCGCAATAAAAAATAAATAAAGCAATATATTGGGGGGGGGGGGGGACATTTTGAGCATATTTGAATTTTGGGGGGGGGGGGGGATGTCCCCCCCCCCCCCCAATATATTATAATTATGGCCTTGGTTGGTGTACGGTGTGCGTACTACTCTGCAGACACGGTAGTGCGATTGTGGCCGTGCAACCCAAACTATGGACCCAAGTGTACACCCATAGACACAGAGAGACATGCGGAGACACATGGAGACACATGGAGACACATGGAGATACATGGAGATAGATACATGGAGACACATAGAGACACATGGAGACAGATACATGGAGACACATGGAGACACATGGAGATACATGGAGATACATGGAGATACATGGAGATACATGGAGATACATGGAGATAGATACATGGAGACACATGGAGACGCATGGAGATACATGGAGACACATGGGGATAGATACATGGAGATGCATAGAGATAGATACATGGAGACACATAGAGACAGACACATGGAGGTACATGGAGATACATGGAGATACATGAAGACACAGAGGTACATGGAGACACATGGTGACACATGGATGTACATGGAGACAGATACATGGAGACTGATATAGGTACATGGAAACACATACAGATACATGGAGACTCATGGAGATACATGGAGACAGATACATGGAGACAGATACACGGAGACTGATACATGGAGACTGATATAGGTACATGGAAACACATACAGACACATGGGAGACTCATGGAGGTACACTGAGACACATTAAAGACAAGCGAGCGAGTTCGCAACAACACCCAGCCGCCCCCACGTCCAGGTGCCGTCTCAATAACCATTCAAGGAGCAGGCCTCCTCCTCCTTGCACGCGGAGATCGTGGGCGGTGGGTACTATCGTTTGTCATGTTAAATTTCGACTTAAAGCTTTCGTGACTGCAGGGATTCATCTTCTTGGTTCTTTCGGTAAAGTCACGTAGAAGGGAAGTAATAAAATAATAAAAATAAAACATAATAAACTAATTATTTTATTATGTTTTATTAATAAAATAATACAAATAAAACATAATAAAATAATTATTTAATTATGTTTTATTTGTATTATTTTATTACTTCCCTTCTACGTGACTTTACCGAAAGAACCAAGAAGAACAGACAACACAACAACAACAACAGACAGCACAACAACAACAACACACCAACAACAACAGACAGCACATCAACAACAACAGACAACACACCAACAACAACAGACAGCACAACAACAACATACAACAGACAACAACAGACAACACACCAACAACAACAGACAGCGCAACAACAGACAACACGATTTAAAGCTTTCGTGACTGCAGGGATTCATCTTCTTGGTTCTTTCGGTAAAGTCACGTAGAAGGGAAATAATAAAATAAATAAATCTCACGACGTTTCGGCCACAACGCAAGCAGCCGTCCTCAGGTGAAGAACAGGTCTGTCGGAAAGACAGCGTCTGAATGAACACCACCAAGCTTGGCAGCGTATATTTAAGCTGGGTTAGGGGAAGAAGGGCGCCTTGACAAAGGAATTTGCATATCAACAGTGGAATTGAGCATATTTATGAATAATGCTGATATGGGATTAGTCACTATTTGTGGAATCCGACAGACCTGTTCTTCACCTGAGGACGGCTGCTTGCGTTGTGGCCGAAACGTCGTGAGAATTGTATTTTATTATGTTTAATTTTTATTATTTTATTATTTCTCTTCTACGTGACTTTACCGAATGAACCAAGAAGACAAATGTAATGTTAATAGCTTCAAACAAGTCAAATAGTCTCCCAACGTGTTCGCCGTCGTTGTCAACACGCGCGTCCTGGAATATTCTCCAGTTGATCTCCAGAGACTGGGGACGGGCACATTGATTGCGGCGTTGTTTAAAAATTCTCAGAAGCGTTAAGAAAATCGTTTTGAAGCAGCCAGCTACAAAAGCGTCGCTGTGACCAGCCTCTCCCAATAAGCCACCTGCCTCCCCATTGTAAGCATCTTGGTTGTTGTTGTTGTTGTTCTCGTTACGAATCTTGGCAGCTGCGGTGTTCAAAGTTCAAAGATCATTTATTAGGTATAGCCCTGTGAGCCATTCGGCTCTTGAATCGGGTGCAACGGCAACAAACAAAAAACATGAACAAGAAAACATCTTAAAGTGACTAAGTGCAAACAGAAAATCCAAGAAAAGACAGCTTTACCGTACACCAACCCTGTGCAAATATCCCAGTGGGATGCAAGTCAAACAACAACAACAACAACCACAAGACAACTTAGATTAAGGCCATCAGTCTAACTCTGTACTACAACAAACAAACATGGCCAAACCAAAAAACTTTTCGAAAATCACAAAAATAAAGCCATAAATTTCAATTTAAAACTTTCGTGACTGCAGGGATTCATCTTCTTGGTTCTTTCGGTAAAGTCACGTAAAACATAAAAGCAATGAAACAGTGCAGGTCATAGGAACTGTGACCGAATTTTGTGAGACACCGGTCTATCGCCACGGGTGGATTGTCCCCGCCACTGCTGCAGAGTGCATTGATTCTAGATTTGAAGCTTTCGTGACTGCAAGGATTCATATTCTTAGGTTTTTTTCGGTAAAGTCACGTAGGTAAAAAATTTAAATTCAAATTAATAAAAGTAAAATAAAAATTAAAATCACGACGTTTCGGAGGCAACACAAGCGGCAGC